GATCTTACTGCATTTAAGTATATTAGGCTCTTGTTTGATATATTTTACTTGTTTTAGTATCCTGATATAGAGTAGTATGGGAGTATTAGCCGATACACGCTAGATCTATCTGATCGGCTATGCTATTAAGATATATAAGGTTGTTATCAATATATATTTCGATCTAAGTGATTCATACTGTCTCGGCATGGCGACTGATCTATCCCTGTCACTTGATTTAAGTATATATCGGTATAGGAACTATATATTGTTAATATCTACAGCCGATCGAATAGATTTAGCTCTTTATTGCCTATTTACAACCGCCGATCGATTCACCTATGACATCGGCTCAAAGATAAATGATATGTCATCGGCACCTAGCCGATCGGCTATCATTTATAGATTTAACTGCGGTTTCTTTGCTTCTATTTCTTGTTGATTGCAGGATCAAATCAACTGGCACGCTCATACATTCGAAGGCGAGCTTTGGACCTGCACTGGAGTTAAGCATGGTGGGTAATTTTTCACCTAATAATCTGGAAAAAGCTCACCTAAATGAGCTTATCAGATTATAATAAGCTGGGCTCCAGATTATAATAAGCTACTTCAATAAGTTGTCTGTTTCTTTCAGCTTACTCCCAATAATCTGATTATAATAATCCCAAGCTGAAAGAAACAGGGCCTAAGTTGTTGAAGGAGAGCTTGAAGTTGCGCTTGCAGAGCCGAAGCCCCTTCTGCCATTGCTTGTAACACTTGGCCAGGCGGCTGAGAGTGTGCTTGGGCAGCGACCGGCTGAGCTTGCAGCTGCGCGTGAGGGGCCGGATATACTACCGCAATCAAAGGCTGCCCGGCGAAGCACACTGGCACTTGCGTAGCTTGTGGCGGAAGGTGCTGGATCGGTGCTTGTGGATAGACTTGGGTTGGACGTAACACATCGAATACTGGAGGATTGGGTCGAAGCGGCCTTGGCCCGCCTCGCTGCCTCGTACGCTTGCTGCTGTTCTTGCATCTGCCGAAGCATGTCCTGGAGGCATGTCATGTTCTGTCGCATGGCTTCCATGTTGGCTTCGGCCTGTGTTTCAGGGTCAGGGTTGACTTGTACAGCGGCGAGCGCAGTCGAGGCCGCTGTCGGCTGCGACGGGGCGGCTTGGGGCACCAGCAGTTGGCTTGTCGAAAGGATCTCCGCCCTGGACTGAAGTGCCCTTGCCGCCGCGGCTGCCTTTGCCATGTCAGCCGTGTTCGGCACCTGCCCAGAGGCGGTAGGAGCCAAAGGCGGTAGTGATGGCGCAGGTGCGGAGGCAGACGACGCTCCTCTATCTTCGGTGATGGGCGGCAAAGGCTCTGCTCCCTCTTCGGCGGCCATCTCCCCCCCGGCTTCGCTTTCCTTTCGCCTTGTAACCTTCTCCTTCACGACCCTCTTCGGTGGCATTCGCTCTTAGTGGTTTCGCTCGGAGGTCCCCACGTTCGGCGCCGACTATTGTCGAAACGACAACTGCATACGTCGAAAGACGTGGTTACTCAACGGTAGTTGGAAAAGAAGTAAAGTGTATTAAATTGAGAATTTTTCTTGTGATCCCCCCGTATTACATGGCCCTATGAGTCTATTTATAGCCTCATTACGGGTTTTTACTACTAGGGCTTTGGTTATCCAGGGGAATTTACATGGTTGCCCTTATGAAAGGGACATTTACATGGGTATACAGTGTAATTAAGGTTCATGGGCTCCTAATGGGCCGTCAGGCGATCGTCGGCCCAATAACCCCTAGGCTTGATGGGCCAGGATGGCTTCTTCGGTCCTCGCGGGGCCGAACTTGCTACCGCGAAGTCATCTCCCTTCGGCATATACTCTTCGCCCTACATCCTTCGCCCAAGAGGCCTCTGGCTTGGCGAGGTACCCGCGCAATTCCCTGCCACCGCCGTCCTTGTTCCATAGTCTTTGCCATGGGGGGGCTTCGCCCTGACTAACCTTAACGTCTCGGGCTTGAATCCTCACTGGTCGCATGGTTTCAGCAGGTTTGGTCGAAGGGCCTCATGCCATACCGCCAACAGCGTTCATGAAAGCACATAGCTTTGTTATTGTTGCCCGGACATTGTCTGGAAGGATACCCCTTGTTACAACTAGTAGCAGTTGTGTCATCAACACGTGACAGTCATGAGACTTTAGGTTTGTGAACTTCTTCTCCTTCGTGCTTATTATTCGTTTTATATTCGTGGAGTATCCAGACGGTACCTTTATGCTCTCCAAGTATTCAAACATACTTTCCTTCTCTGCCTTGCTAAGAATGTAGCTGGCTGAACTCAAGTAATGGCTTCCTTTCTCCTTTGGTTCCGGGTGAAGGTCATCACGTTGTTCCATATGCTTCAGATCATTACATGCTTCCAGTGTATCTTTCGACTTTCCATATACACCTAGGAAGCAAAGAAGGTTTACGCAAAGGTTCTTAGTGAGGTGCATCACGTCGATTGCATGGCGGACGTCCAAGAATTCCCAATAGGATAACTCTCAAAATATAGAGTTCTTTTTCCACATCAACGCGTGACCATCTTCGCTCTCTATAGGGTGGCTTCCAGGCCCCTTTCCAAACACTACTTTAAGATCTTTAACCATAGCAAACACTGTTTTCCCGCTGCGATGTTTAGGCTTTGTACAGTGGTCCGCCTTATGTTCCAAGTGCTTGCCTTTCTTCCGTACCGGGTGGTTTGCAGCAAGGAATCGACGATAACCAATGTACACAACCTACCTACAGTGCTTAAGATACGTACTTTCTGCTTCATCCATACAGTGAGTGCAAGCCTTGTACCCCTTGTTGGACTGCCCGAAAAGGTTGCTAAGTGCAGGCCAATAGTTGATGGTTACGAATAGCAGCGCTTGTAGGTTAAACTCCTCCTATTTGTCCTTGTCCCACACGGGGACACCTTCCTTTTTCCACAACAGTTTTAGATCTTCGACCAGTGGTCTTAGGTACACATCGATGTCGTTACAAGGTTGCTTGGGGCCTTGAATAATAATCGGCATCATTATGTACTTCCTCTTCATGCATAGCCAAGAGGGGAGGTTGTAGATATACATCGTAACAGGCCAAGTGCTATGGCCGCTGCTCATCTCTCCAAAAGGATTCATGCCATCCATACTTAAACCAAACCTTATGTTTCGTGCGTCCTTTCCAAAGTCTTTAAATTTTCTGTCGATGTTTCGCCACTGCAAACCATCGGCGGGATGTCTCAGCATCCTGTCCTGTTGACGTTCTTCAGCGTGCCAACGCATCATTCTAGCATTCCTCTTGTTTCTGAACAAACGCCTTAGCCGTGGTATTATAGGGAAATACCACATCACCTTAGCAGGAATTCTCTTCTTTGTTGGCTGCCCGTCAACTTCACCTAGATCCTCTCGTCTAATCTTGTATCATAGTGCTTTACAAACAGGGCATACAATCATTCGGACATGCGTGAATCTTCTGAACTTCCAGTCCTAGAGGGCAGACTATCTTCTTAGCCTCGTACGTTGTCTCGGGCAATTTGTTTTCCTCCGGAAGAATGTTCTTGACAAGTTTCAATAAATCGCCAAATGCCTTGTCACTAACACTATTTTTTGCCTTCCATTGTAAGAACTCCAGAGTGGTATCCAACTTTTTGTGCCCCTTCTCGTAACCTGGGTACAACGACGTTCTGTGGTCCTCTAATATCCGCTCCAATTTATGGGCCTCCTTTTCACTTTCACAGTCCTCGTTTGCGTCCTGCAACATCTGACCAAGATCATCCGCAGCGTTGTTATCGCCAGCAACCCTGTCCACCTCACCCGTTTGATTTCCTTCAAATCCAGCGTACTGAGCCCAGTCAGGAATGTTCTCGTCCTCCGCTTCATCTTCTTCCTTTTCAACCCCTTGCTCACCGTGGGATGTCCAATAATTATAGCTTGGCATGAACCCCGACTCAAACAAGTGCAAATGAATAGTCCTGGATGCAGAATACTCCTTCTGGTTCTTACACTTATTGCATGGACAACAAATAAAACAGTTACGCTTGTTAGCTTCGGCCACTCTCAAAAAATAATGCACGCCATCGATAAACTCTTTGGACCGCCGGTCAGCGTACATCCATTGCCGATCCATCTACATGAAATGAAAAAAAATCGTACATAAATAAATTTTGGTACAATAATGACAGTCAAATAGTAATGATAAAATAATTAAAAACTCTTTCGACAAGCAATTCTTATTAACAATTTTTGAAGTTCTAAACTAATATTAGTGTTATACTTCTCTTAATTTTCAATTTAGTTTGTTTTCTATTTTTTAAGATTAATTTTCATCATATTTTAAACTATGAAAATAAAATTTCTATATATTCTTCTTCTCCACACAAATTTTCTCTCTTCAACTTACAACAAAGTTTTGGAGACAAAAAAAATGTGTGAAACATCGCTCCAAAAGTAATATAATAACAAAAAAAACATTGGAGGATGAAGTGACTAACCTTTTAGACACCTCCGATTTGTATATAATCACTAAAAAAATTTTACAAGAAATTTTGGCATGACCTCCCCTCTTTCTTTGAGAAATTTTGAAGCTTGCTCTCGGGCTGGAGGAGGAAGAAGGCATATATAAGGGGGGATCTTTTGTCCCGGTTGGTGTTACCAACCAGGGCTAAAGATCGCCGTGATCTTTAGTCCCGGTTGGTAAGGGGCCCTGACAACGTCTGACATCTCTACAACCGTTGGTGATCACATATGTCCGTTGTAGCCGCCAACCGTCTTTAGTCCCGGTTTTAAATGAATCCGGGACCATTGTAGATTTCGGCCGACCGACCAAAGATGGTTTCTCCACCAGTGAATCAACGCACCTCTCTGTACGAGCCCACAATAACACGCAAGTTTGCTCGGCTCCTGCATGCAATACCTAGAGTGCCACTTGCATATACATATCGTCTCATCTCGCCCCAAACAAACCAACCAAGCTAGCCAGCTATCTGCCCGCCACAATGGACGCACTGCCATTCCTCCTCCTGCTCCTCCAGCTCTCATGTGCCCCGTTCTTCCAGCTCTCATGTGCCCCGTAGTCAACGGCAGCGCCCTCCTGCCGCTCCACGATGCCGCCGTCGATCTCCACCCCATCGTGCTGCTGCCAGGGAACGGCTGTAGCCAGCTCGACGCGGAGCTCACCGAGCACTACGAGCCATCGCCATGGGCGCCGGCGAGCTGCGGCGGCGCTGCGGCCGCGGGGAAGGGGAAGGGACGACGACGGTGGTTCCGGCTATGGAAGAACAGCACTGCACTGGGCGACCCCGCGGTGGCGCTGTGCTACGCGGACCAGCTGCGGGTGGTGTACGACCGCGCCGTCGCCGACTACCGCAACGTCGCCCGCGTCTGGACCCGCGTCGTGTCGTTCGGCACCACCCGCGGCTTCGGCTCCGACGATGATCCCTCGGATCCGGAAAGGTGAGCCGCCGGCCATGTCGTACGTGTACAACATTATTATTGTCATACACTCTGCACTTTTGACTAATTTTGCTACGTGATATACGTGGGCGATTACGGTGTACGCACTACTAGAAAACTAATCTTCGCAGGCGGGAGGGAGGTTCGCCTGCATCATAACGACTGCGAAAATCATCGATCGATTTTCGCAGTCGGCGCAACGGCCCGCCAGAGAAAATGCAAAAAAACGAACAAACAAAAATCGCCGCACGCGGCTCACCGCCGCCGCCCTCCCCCGGCCGGATCTGAGAGGGGAGGGGAGCCGCCGCCGTCGTCATCGTCGCCGCCGCCGCGCTCCATGCCATTGTCGCCCCGCGTGTCGTCTTCACCGCCGTCCCGCACCTTCGTCACCGCCGCCGCCCCCGCCGGCCTCCCCCCTCCCTCCTCCGGCCAGATCTGCGAGGGAGGGAGGGAGGGGAGATGCCGCCGGCTGCCGCGTGCCGCCCCGCGCCGGCGGTGGAGGAGGAGTTGGAGAGGTCGAGTTGGCGAAGGGTGGCGCCCTGGAGGTAGAAGCGAGGGTGGGTGGGGCGGAGGACGAGGTAGACGATGAGCGCGATGATGCCGACGAGGATGGCAAGGACGATGAGGATGCCCCGCGCCGTCGTCGCCGCCGTCGCCCCTACCGGCCTCCCTCCTCCCTCCTCCGGCCAGATCTGGGAGGGAGGTGGGAGGGGAGCTGCCGCCGTCAACCCCGCCGGCCTCCCCCTCCCTCCTCCGGCCAGATCTAAGAGGGAAGGGGGAGGGGAGCCGCTGCCGCCGCCCAGCCCACTCTACTGCCGCTCCACGCCGTTGCCGCCGCCGCCGGCCTCCCCCTCCCTCCTCTGGCCAGATCTAGGAGGGAGGGGGGAGGGGAACTGCTACCGCCGCCCGGCCCGCGCCGCCGCCGCCCGGACTTCAGCCGCGCCTCCTCGCCGTTGCCGCCCTCTGCCGTCACCGCCCGCGGTCGCCGCTGGGGAGAGTAGAAGTGAGGGGAGGGGAGAGGAGGAGAGGAGAGGGGAGGAGAGAGGCTGGTGAGGAAGGGAGGAGAGGTGTGAGGACTTAGAAAGAAATTAGGGCCCGCAAATCTATTTATATTCAAGTCTATTTTCGCAGGCGGACCACTTAAGCGGCGCCTGCGAAAATGATTTTCGCAGGTGCCTTCCGCAAGCGGGCATCAAATTTTACCCCGATTTATATTTTTGTAGGCTGTCATTTGGCTCTAAGGGTCACGTCCGTCTGTGAAAATAAGGTCCTCACGTTAAGAAAAATGCTTTTTCTAGTAGCGACGTACTGTGATGCAAACGCATGTGATGCATGCTGACTATCGTAATTAGCTGCTCCCTCTCTTTCAGATTACAAGACGTTTTAACTTTGGATAAAGTTAAACTACTCTAAGTCTGACTAACTCTATTGAAAAAAATAGTAATATTTACAACATCATTAAATCCATAATCTTCTATCTATCTATTATTATAAACTAAAAGTCTATTAAACTTCCTACAAACGCTCCTAAACCACCATGTGGTATCCTACAAACGCTCATAAGCCGCCACATGGCACGTTCAATCTCACCGTCGATTTTCACTTAAATTGGTGGACTCTATATTTTAGATCATTAGATTAAATATACTATTTAAAAAATTAATACCTTCATGTGGGTCGGAAAAAGAATTCCATATGTACGAAAGGACTCCATACATACGAAACATAAGTATGATTATAAAATTGATTAGAGAAACATAAATAGTACGTACAACTGAAAAAAAAAACGTATAAGCTTACCTACTGCTCTCACAAGAAGAAAATAACATCATGTACGTAATTACGATAAGAGCAATAAAAAAAAACATACGTAACATAAAGAAAAATAAACATAAGTAACATGCCATTGAAGAAAAAAATCGATGTTCTATAAAATATAATTTTTTATTTACAAGTAATATATACTACTATAAATTTACGGAAATATACACAGTTAAAATACAATATAAATATAAAATATCTAATCAATGCTCTTTAAACATTCTATCGTGAAATTATTTTAAAATTTTGTTATCCAGTTGGCCAGAAAAAGGAAAGCCACGTAAGGACTTATGATAAAAGCGATAAAGTAAAAAAAAATGTTACACACGTACGTAGTGCCATTGAAAAAAAACTTATGGCACTATTTAAAAATAAAATAAAATATATTACTATAAATCTACGTAAATATGCACAATTAAACTAGATCTTCTATGATATATAAATATAAACTATCCGATCAATGTTTTTTAATTTGTTATCCAGTCGGATTCCTTTAATTAAAGGAATTAAACTATTGGTGCCTATGTTTATATATACCTCACAACACATATGAGGCCGACATATAATAATTAATGTTATCTGCAATATATAAATATAAACTATCCGATCAATGTTTTTTAATTTGTTATCCAGTCAGATTCCTTTAATTAAATGAATTAAACTATTGGTGCCTATGTTTATAAATACATCAAAACACATAAGGCCGACATATAATAATTAATGTTATGATAATATTTTAAATAATTTGCGGCACTCTAAAAACGCTCTCAAGCTGCCACATAACGCTCTAAAAAAATAGAAAAAATCTTAGAAATTCCGAGAAAAAAACTAGCCCTCAATTTTCATTTTAAAACAATAAGTCTACCTTATTTTCAAATAAGATCATAAATAATAAATAATTGCTTGTAGATATTACTTAAATATAATATAATATAAACTAATAGGTTAGAAATTATAAAACAATTAATGTTGATGAAAATAATTTATGGAGAAATAGTGGCAGATGTTCTCCGTTTAATATTTCACTCATATAAGTATATTAAACTTAGCATACGACGCATACCCGCGCGAATGCGCGGGTTACCTTCCTAGTTGAATAAATTCTTATAATATATTAGTTTTGGATAAAAAATATTACAACTTTTTTCTACAAATTTAATCAAACTTAGAGTAGTTTTATTTTGACAAAGTCAAAACATTTTATAACCTGAAACGGAGAGGGAGTATTTATATAGGTTTGTCATTCACGAGATGCCGCACAGCGGAAGATATGGTGGTCCAAACTTAAAGTTAAAGCTATTTTTTAAGAGAAAAAACATGTACGTACAGGCTAGAAATAGAATGGAGGGGGCTTATCTTCTTTTTTATTCCTCCAGCGGTCTAGCCTCCCTACTCTTCCTTCTCTTCATTTTCTTTTCCCCTCCCCTCTCCCCTTCTCTTAATATGGTACGTGCGCCCATGCTGAATCCATCCCCGTGTACGTACCATCTTAAATCCTAGATCTTCATGTTTATAAATGGGACTACCTATACGTTTGTCGATTTAAAATTATACAATCGCCTTGCAATTGTATAGCTATTTGCATGTAACTATTATATAATTTTCATATGTAAGTTTAGAAACTCACATGATAACATACTATTTCCATGAAGCGGTGGTCACATGCCCAAATCCCCTCTCCTATGCGTTTTTGTGATTGTTTCCTTCCTTGCTTGCACGAATCGTGAAAGAATATCTAATGGTTTATAATTATACGAAAGTTGCATATATATATATATATATATATATATATATATATATATGTTATGTTGTATTTACATACAAGTTATAATGTAATTACACTATAATTATTATATTTGACAAATTTATAGAAAAATCACTACAAAAATACTCTCTTCGGTACAAATAATCCAAGCTTATATAAGACATAATTAAATCTATACCCTCCTCCAGTACATTATTTCTTACGTTTGGAAAACGGTGCGGTCTCCAAAATACACACTACTAAATAAACCATTTTTCCAAATGATAGCATTTTTATCCAGGTGGGTAGGCCTCTCAGAGCTAAATAAAAATGACAACCGTGGGCAAGATCGTCGTCCACCTACGAAAATAGATTTTCGCAGACGGATCTCTTAAGAGGTCCGCCTGCAAAAATATCTTTAGGTGGTCATATCTTTATTTTTGCAAGCAGACCTCTTAAACGATCAACCTACGAAAATCTATTTTCGCAGGTGGTACCTTAAGAGTTCCGCCAGCAAAAAGATTAAGCATCATAAAAATGACCACCTACCTAGTCAAAATTGCCTAAGTCCCTCTCCTTCAATTCCTCCCTGCGTCCTCTCCTTCCCTCTCTTCCCGACGGTCCCCTCCCCTCCCACCTCTCCTTCCCTCTGTCCCTGCCGGTGGTAGCAATGGCAGATACCGCGGTGGTGGCAGCGGCTCCATCCCGGTGCGGCTTCCCTCCCCTCCCTCCCAGATCCGGCCAAAGGGGGGGGGGAGGGTGGTGGTGGTGGCAGCTCCCCTGCCCTCCTCCTAGATCCGACCGGAGGGTGGGGGAGGGCGGCGATTGCGGCGGCGTCACCCCACCACCGGCGTGGCTTCCCTCCCGTCCCCTCCCTCCTAGATCTGACTGAAGGGGGTAGGGGGAAGGGCGATAGCAGCAGCGACTCCCCTCCCTCCTCCCGAATCCGGCCGGAGCGAGGGGGGAGGGTGGTGGCATACCCCACCCCAGCGCGGCTAAATTCTCTCCCCTCCCTCCCACACGACGGTGGTGGCACAGCTCCAAGCGGTGGTAGAGGCGGTTCCCCTCCCTCCCTCCCTCCCAGATCTGGCCGGAGGGGGAGGGGGAAGGGCAGTGGTGGTGGCCCATGGCGGCGCCGGCGCCCCTGCAACGGCAAGAGGTGGGATGGCTGCGGCGGCTGCGCGGACGGAGATGGGTAGGGTGGGGGGTGGGGGTGGTGGTGAGTTTTTTTTTTTCGGCCAAAATATATTCGTAGGCGGGAGGCTACGGTGCCTGCAAATATGGAGATGCCAGCAATGACCTGCCTGTAAAAATCATCTATTTTCACAGACTTATGCATACAGACGGGCCTCCCCCGCCTAGAAAATGATTTTTGGCCACCTGGGGAAATAATTTTTCTAGTAATGACATCTTCAATTATATATTATTGTCTATTATAATATATATAAAAGCTTTTAAATATTTTAGTTTTATTAAAGAATGTTTTGGACTAATCTACACATGTGTCTTGAAATTTAATGTTCTAAAAGTTATAAGCTAGTAATAGTCAAAGCTACAATTGTTTAACTTCGTTCAAAACGTCAACAATATTGAACCAATGTAAGACAAACATGTGCATACCTTTTTTTTTGTTTTATTTAGATAAGCATCTGAAAAGTTACTCAAAGTTCAGTTTTGAAAATTGACAAAATCTTATGATATACTCCAAATGTTAATGTTTCTGTCTGGAAAGAAAACCTTTGTAAAATTTCACTTTTCCTAGATTTGTACATGTCGACATTAATATGTCACAATCTAAGTGGAATTATCAGTTATATATGGAATAAGTGACGGAGCTAATTAAGAGAGGACAGGGTGAGGCCTGGCCTCGACCAACAAAAATTACTATGATTAGTGATCACAAGATTTGATCGAAATTTATCAAAATTTTGTAAAAAATGTCATATGGCTGGTTGGAATCCAACAGTAAATTGGAAATAAAACTACATAATTATTACAACTTGTAATTAATGATAAGAGACTACAAAATACGAGACAAAATTATCAAAATAAAACCAACTCCTGTTGTAGTAGTGTTACATCTTGCCTATTACAGTTTATGTCGATAAAATTATTAAAACATATATATTATTAATATGTAAAATACACCAAATGCATCAAAAATTATCAAAAACACTAATTCTTTGCCTTCCATTATGCTGGAAATAAAACGAAATATGATGTCAGGACGTGCGATGCCGATGCAAAGACAACGAGGAATATGATGATGCAACCAGGGAATTTATGGAGTAGTGTCTTCCGGCCTTATTTATGGGCCCAAATATCAAATCATATATGTATATTGGGCCATCGTATAATCATAAGTGCTAGTTCATTTTCTATTTGCTGCTTGCTAGTATCATTCCTATAGTAGCAGTTGAGCTTTGATGGAACAATCAATGATGTCACCAGGGTCTAGTTTAACTCTTCACTAGGGTCATAGCTTGTAAAATAAGAGGGGTACTAGACATCGGCAAAAAACATCACCCCGATGATTGCCTGTAACTCCACCCCTCACAACAGCTAGTAGAAAAATAGGAGAGCAACATGCAGCGTTGGAACAAGAGAATAGCACGATTAAAAAATAAAGCTAGTAGCATGTTGTTGTATGTCAGGTTGGTATGTTTTTGGAGCCATCAGTCGGCGCTGTTATTAAAACTGTTCTAAGTACTTCCTCCATTTCATATCCATTTCATATTGATCGATCATTATATAATCAAAAGTCAAAATGTTTAAATTGATCACCATATAGACCCTTGTACCTTATTTGATATGCAGCATTATTGTGTTTATGCATGCATGTAGGTTTTTAGGAGAACTAAAGCACTCGATCGTTTCTTATGCATATGGAGAGTCAAAGTATGTATTTTTCTTGATTCTTCCTCACTACATACTTACATTAATTAAAATACATGATAGTCAATTCTTTTTTGGTCTTGGTAGAAAAAAAACTTATACAATAATCAATATGGAATGAAGAAATAGCTAGTAGTAATGGTAAGTAGTATGAAAAAAATATGAGAAAATTTAGGGTTCTCGAGAAACTACATGTGCATTTTTTCAAACAAGAAGTTTTATGTATAACTGAATTCATGTATGCTTATTTTTTTTCATCAAATCCTCAGCCTCAATTTTTTTTGGATTGAACTGCAAATCCTGTCAGGAGCCATTGTTTCAAGAAGATGGCAGTGTTAGTGATATGCCCTAAAGGCAATCATAGAGATGATTGTATCATATACTATGTTTACATATTTATCCGACATTGTTCCTTAAAATAGATAACTCCTTATTGGTTAATGAATATGTGATTCTTTCATGAGACTCTTTATGTTGTTTGTTACTATTTCTAAAGGATCCCTGATCAAATATTATATGTGGAACAAATATGTTTATATGATCCGCACATGTATTAATTGATAATCATATCTCATGGATCATGGTTTAGAGATACCAAATTAATAATGTGGACACATGTTGGTGAACATGTTGTTGGATAGACCCAACATGAGACACTGCAAGAGCCATATGTGTTGTGTCATCAGTGATCTTATTGAGTGTTGGTGTTGAATCCTTAGACCTGAGATTATCATGGTTCTCAACATGTATAGTAGCTTACTTAGGGACTGCAAAACGCTACTCCGTAATTGGGTAGTTATAAAAGTAGTTTTCGGGTATGCTATGAAACATGTAGTGGGATATGAATAATCAAGGTGGGATTTGCCCCTCCTATAGACAGATATCTCTGTGCCCCTCGATGTTGTAGATTACAGAAGTGCATGGCCATGCCAAAGGTGATTGAGGAGTCAATCACAAGTTATATAATCTATCAACAAGTTCGAGTGAATGATTGAGCTATTAGAGGATGGCAAGCCTTGAGCTTAATCTATATCGTGAGGCAAAGGGGTTCATACAAGTATACACTAGAGGTTCAGCCGATATGATCTTTATGGATGCCCGGTGGGTCAATACGTTCTGCTAGGGGCCGCTGTTAACGCTGGACCGAAAAGGAGTCTTCGGGTTACAGCCCAGTATATATGAACCTACAGGGTCGCACGCTTAATGGGCCAGAATAAGGGAATTAGATAGAGATACAATATGAGCTTAATTCGGATTGGGATCCGAATAGGAGTCCTACGGGCCTTGGAGGCCCGAGTGATGGATCCTATATATTCGTGAGGGGTGTGACCGGTGGAGGCATTGCATCACGTGAGAAACCTTAGCCGTCACTTCCCTCCCCGAGCAAAACCCTAGCCGCGCGTGGGTGCTAGCACATCTGCGCGTGGCGTTCCGTCCCTGTACGTGTGGATACCGGTAGAGGCGCCGCTGGTTTGCGGTGCTGACCAGCGTGGGAGTACGGCGAGAAGAACGCATGAGGAGGAGAAAGTCGAGCCGGTGCGATCGACTACTTCCTCTACATCGATGCGCGCTACTTCGCGAGAGTTCCTTCGACTTCTCAGCATCTTTTTCCGCTGCACAGCGCGTCGAGTGGTAACGATCTATGATCTAATACTTGCATGGTTCCTGGTTTACGCGGTAGAAAATTTTGATTTATGCTATCGTAGCCTACGCGTATCCCAACAGGCAGAGGCACTGGGAAGAATCAGCTACAAAGAAGGAGAGAACCTCTTCGGCGCCCCCTACGACTCCCGGTACGTGGCGGCGCCACCGGGCATGCCCGCCATGGCGTTCGATGCCTACACCGCCGACCTGAGGTGTCTCGTCGAGCACGCCAGCAGGAAGAACGGCGGCAAGCCGGTCATCCCGGTGACCCACAGCAAAGGCAGCCTGATGGCCGCGGAGTTCCTCACGCGGAGCGCGACACCGTAGTGCAGGAGGTTCGTCAAGCACCTCGTCATGGTCTCCACCGGCGCCGGCGGCATCGTCGTGGCGATGCAGAGCCTCGCCGCCTCCGCCTACGCAGCGCCGGGGTCGCTGGCGAGGACGGAGCGGAGCTACGGGACGGTGTTCGCAGCGCTGCCGTCCCCGAACGTGTTCGGCGGCGCGCCGCTGGTGGTGACGCGGCGCAGGAACTACTCGGCCCACGACATCTCGGAGTTCCTCCCGGTGGTCAGGTTCTCCGGCGAGGAGGTCAAGCTGTACCGCACGAGGGCGCTGCCGGTGAACTCGGGGTTGAGGGCGCCGCGCGTGACGATGACCGCCGTCTACGGCGCCAGCGTGCCGACGCCGGAGCAACTGGTGTACTGGGACGGCGACTTCAGCAAGGCGCCGGAGGTGGTGTACGGCGACGGCGACGGCGACGGAGCAGTCAATCTGGAGAGCGTGTTGGCGTGGAACACAGTGGTCGGACATGATCTGGAGCAAGGTTTCTTCAAGGCCGTCAAGATCATGAATGCGACATGTTTACACCCAAATTTGGTACCTATGGACGAAATAGGGGAAAATTGCCAAAGTTTGGAAAGTATCGAGTTTCTTTCACAAGGCCGGTCAGACCGCAGGTATATGGGCAGTCTCACCGGCTAGTAGGGCCGGTCTGACCGCAGGTATGTGGGCGATCAGACCGGCAGGGTCCGAGTCCGAGTCTGTTTTCGTCGGGTCTCGGGTTTCCTTGCTCGGGAAGGCATGTTTCGTGTTTCCTTTAGTTTCTATCCCGAGTTGGACATGGAGAAGGGCCTGTAGAGGGTAAGACCAACCCCTATTTAAGGGACAAGGCCTGTTCATTGTAAAACCTCCAAATACAATATACTTGAATCATTCTTTTACTATGTTTTCTATTTTACCCTAGTTTTAGTTCATCTTTGTCGGTTTGCGCTGTAAACCGTCCGCCGCCGCTGCGAGAGTGCGACACCTCTTCGTAGGTTTGTCCTGGAAACCTTCCATTTTGCCCACGAGATGGTTAGTTATCCTCATATCGATCTAAATCGGCCTAGAGGCTGATTTTGATCTCTAAATCGGCTCCGCTAGCCGGTTTAGCTGTTTTTCTCCAAAACCCATCTTAATTTGGCCCTTTGGCTAGATCGAGATGGTAGGCGACTCCATATCACCGCAAAGCGTTTAGGTGTTGCGATCGTGTTTGTCAACTTGTCACGAAAAGTTACCAACACGATTTTTGGCGACTCCGCAGGGGACAAATCTATTCGGCTTTAGAACAGCCGAATTTGCGATCTACCCATCTGTGTTTCGTCGAGACGAGTTCCACGTCTGTTTCGGCTGTGCGGCCGAAATCAATCCATACAATTCATCTACTGCTGTTGCATATTTCTCATTGGATCAATTTGATTGACGGCAGTACTGTTTGGTCATCAAGCAGAATCAATCTACTAGTTCGGCTGACGTTATCCGATTTCATCGTTGTCTGGTATTTGAGACCGATCGATTCGATCGGTTAGATAGCAGCACGCTGCCTTTTCTGTCTTGCTGTGTACAGCTAGAGCAAGAAAATCATTCGGATTAGATCGATCAAAGCTAGTACTGCACACATATATTTACATAAAGACAAAAAGCCGATTCATATTGTTTCGGCCGTTACTGTGAAGCATTGATTTTCCAGATTTTTGCTGCACACAGGGGATCGGCCAATCAAGGCTACTGATCTTTTGATTTTTGGAATTTTTGCTAGGTACACACGTCAGATATATCTAGGAAAATTATAAGACCGTATATTAATCTATTCGGTCAAATATTTCGGCTATGAGCTATGTGGCCCGATTTAATCAAGGAATTTCTTCATCAACTATGACGAGCGGGAACGGGTTCAACAATATTGCTACACAATACATTAGAACCGATCAAGGCGTCATGAGAGGAAACGTCCCGCTACCTCAAGTTGTAATTTCACCAAAGGTAACCTTCGATTCGCCCAACCCGTCCTTTGCTATTCAAAACATTAATAATCATTATGTAGATGCATATGCTACTTCTAGTTTTGCTCCTATACAATATGCTTATAATGCTACGGGGGGGTCAATGGGTGATTATGCAGCCGATTACACAGAAATCGGCTATATGCAAAACCGAGCTGACAGTATGACCGGTCGTGACACCGGTCTAACCGCATCCTTTGCCAGTCAGACCGCGCCCACCATGGCCGGTCAGACCGTGTACTACGTCGGTCAGACCGTGCCTACCATAGCCGGTCAGACCGTGCCCTATCCTGGCCAGATCGGACCTCCTGTGGCCGGTCTGACCGCACCGCTGACCACCGGTCAGACCGGGCCATGGGCCGGTTAGACCGGTTCCCAGGGAGTTTCTCCAGGTTTTCATACCACGACTAGCAGTACTGATTTTAATTCACCTGTTAATACTGTTAGTCATGCTATTCCACATATCCCTAATGCCTACAATGATATTAATAGGGGATATCCTCCCGATACTAGGTATGGCCAATATAATAATATTGTGCCACCACAACCACCTTTTAGGCCACCAAGTCCACCACCAAATCCACCAAAGCCTGAAACTATGGAGGATTGGTTTAGAAATACTATCAGGGAGAATTTTGCAAAGCTAAGGAATCGTGCTAGGGAGTACCAAAAGTCGTATCCTGATTTTTATGATATTATCCCATATCCTTGTGGTTATAAAATTCCTGAATTTACCAAGTTTAGTGGTGAGGATAGTAGGACCACATGGGAGCATGTAGATCAATTTTTAGCGCAATGCGGTGAGGCTAATTAAGATACATGTAAATTGAACTTGTTTTCTTTATCTTTGTCTGGTACTGCTTTTGCATGGTTTACTTCTTTACCAGCAAATTCTATTTTTTCCTGGGCTCAATTAGAACAAAAATTTCATGATTATTTCCACACTAGTGAGACTGAGCTTAGATTGTCTGATTTAACATCGGTTAGGCACAAATACAATGAATCTGTCGTTGATTATATTGAAAGGTTTAGAGATATTAAAAGCCGATGTTTTAGTTTGAAAATAACTGACAAAGATTTGGCCAACATTGCATATGATGGATTGCTTGATTCTATTAAAGAGAGGTTGAATGGCCAAATATTTCTTAATGTTGATCATGTGTTGCATGAAGCTCTGGCTCAGGAAAGCCAAGTGGATGATAATAGCTTAAATGCTAGTTTAGATGATAGTGCAATATCATGTGTAGCCAAATCAAGCGACGGTTCGGATTGTGTTAATAATTTGTGCAATGATGCCATAACAATTATAGCCAAACCAAATGTTGGTTCGGATTGTCTTGTTAGCGTGGATAATAATGCAATAACCATTATAGCCGAATCAAGCGATGATTCGGATTGTGTTACTAGTTTAGACAAAGATGGAATAGTCGAACCAAGTAATGGCTAGCTTAGAGAATAATGCCATTGAAGATATAGCCAAACTAAATGACGGTTCGGATTGTATCACAAGCGAAAGTGAAATAGCATTATCACCTAAGACCGAATCACAAATCGGTCATGTGGATGTTGGGAAAGATGATGACAATGTCTTGCGGGATAGTAGTGAAATAGAATCGAAAGTAGCTATGCATACATACCAAAGGCCGTATCCTGAACACGTAGATTCAGTCCCATACCCGCAAGGATTTGAGGTGCCCAACTTCACAAAATTCACAGGTGAGGATGCTAGAACAACAATGGAGCATATCGGCCAATTTGTTGATCAATGTGGTAAGGTCGGTAGTAATGATTTGCTTAAGTTAAAGTTGTTTCCTCTTTCTTTGTCAAACTTTGCATCTACATGGTATAGTTTACTTGCTCCTAATTCAATTTCTACATGGTCACAAATGGAGCATGAGTTTCATGGTTATTTCAAATATGCAAGCTTGATGGAGCAAAGACCGATTGATACTTCATCGGTCACTTGTGAAACTATTTCGGTTACATCTATGCCTAAGACCGGAATTGTTAGTGATCCTCTCCCTGTTAGTTCTATTGATGTTGGCAAAAAGAAAGGGAAAAGTGTTATTATTGGGGATCCTCGGCCCAAGAATAGGATCAAAAATGCGAAGGCCGAAGATCATAAAGTTGCAAAGGATGAGTCATCTAGTTTCCAAAAGACCAAAAAACCGAAGCTCACTTTTGACATGCTTATGGCTAAGTACAAGAAAGGATTAGCCGGTCAACGATTTCATAATCAAACTAGTGATTCAAAAAGACCAAGATCATCTCGTAGGAAGAGATTTGGTCAAACACCAAAGCAATCGGAGCCATCAACTAAACCAACTCCATACAAACCTCCGATTGTGATGCCATGGTATCCATATCCAATGTCACCGTTTGGTTATCCTTTTATGTATTACATGCCGTGGATGCATCAACCGCCTATGCTGTATCATCAAGGATGGAAGCAATCACCTAGGACAGTACCAAGTCATTCTAACTCAAGACAAGACCGTTTCCCACAAAGGAATCGGTCCGGTGGATCAAAGGTGAAAAAGGTGAAGAAGGTGTGGGTGAGAAAAGAAGCCAAAGCTCCGGAAGTCGTCACTATTAAGGAGGAATCTCAAGATGTTCAAGTACCTACTGGAGATGCGGCGAAAAATATACAAGCGGAGAAGACTGAAGCCGACGCCGTTGCTGTCGACATCGGCAGTCTGACCGAGACAGTTGGCCGGTCTAACTGCCAGACTACGGCCGTTCTGACCGACCCTCCTGATCAGTCTGACCGACGGCTTGTGACCGGTCTAACCGGGCCCAGAGGCCGGTCTGATCAGGGGGCATTGGAGAAGAGTGGGAAAATTGAGAGCAACATTGGAGCTTCCATTTCGACCAAAAATATGAAGAATCATTGCTTAGCTCCTGGAAAACAACCACAGCCGAAGTGGATACCTTCTGGCTTATCTCGCTCTCAAAAGAGGAGGCTACAGCGTCTTCGGGCCATAGGTCAAAAAGAAAAGGAGGCCGAAGATGTGGAGAACAAGATATGCAATAATTTAAAGCCTCGAATAGCACCTAGGCAAGTGTGGAGACCTAAAGAAGTAAAAGTTAAGAGACCGGTGATTTCCCATAGTAGTAGTGATAAATTCAATTTGATGAGAGAAGAATCATCGGTCATTAGAGATAAGTCTCCTCCACATGATGCTATGGGTGTTAGTGCGGTATCCATCTTGCCTTCGAAATCGTGCAGTCAAGAAAGCCGATTTTGCTTGGGGGGCAAGACATTAATATGCTCATGAAGGAATCAAGAGAGATGAACAGCGATGGATACGACATCACATCTTTGAGCCGCCGTTTGTCAGATGCTAAGGCAAGGTATGAGTTTATTGTGTTCATCATCATATGATATGCCTATGCCATGTTAGAACATTGCTTACTATCTAGCACATGTGTGTTTTTGCTTATCGAATTGATATTATACATACATGTTGCAAATGCCAGTTCTAAGTAGTGGAATTGGTAGGTTGGCATATAATTTGTTTGTAGTATGATTTGGCTCATGAGTCTTTGATATTTATTTAAAGCCAAATTGTATGTGTTTTTATGGATCACCATATAAGATATAGATTTTATAATTATTGCACCATGAAAGTTTTGCTTATTAGTAATTCGGCTAATGTCAATGATCAATGTGATGATTTATTCTAGAGTTGTTTTCTTTAGAAACATTGGCATTGTTAATATTTTGCATTCATGCTCAAGCCGATTACTTACATTTGTAGTTTATTGGAATTCATGTGTGTGAGGCATATGACTTTGGTGATTCATTATTGATCATACTTCAATTGGCTAAGTGTTTTGATGCCATGATGATTATTGTTTCAAAAGCCATTTGAATTAGTATTCATCTAGACATGTTAGTTGGATGCTATAATTTTTCATATGTCTAGAGAGAAGAAATTTTGGTCCAATAATTTGATACACCAAGCATCTGGCTATTATGTGAAGAGAAATTATATACTAAAGGCCGATGCTTGATTTCAAAAGTTTGGACGAAATTGGCAAAATCATAGACCAGGGGCGGTCTGACCGGCATTGCACGGCCGGTCTGACCGGTGGTACCGGCGGTCTGACCGGCTCTACATGGCCGGTCTGACCAGGTAGACAGGGCAGTCTGACCGGCATTGCGTGGCCGGTCTGACCGATCCCAGACAGGAGGCTGGGGGGCACGTTACAATTGATTAAAAGGCCGACTTAATTGTGAATTCGGACATTTGTGCCCATGAGTTAGAGGTAGCTTGGAGAATTCATTTGATTAGATATTTGAATGATCCTACACTTAAGGTTGATCGAAAGATTCGGCGGCAAGCGCTCAAATATTATATCGCCGAAAAACAGATGGAGTATTACTTAGATAATGATCAATCTAAAGTTGCTAGGAGAGTAGTACATGAAGGGATTTGTAAAATTCATCAATCGGCCCGTAAGATAAATTGGTTGCTTAGGAGAGTGGGGTTTCATTGGCCGAAAATAATTGATGATTGTTTCAAATGTTATAGAGGGAGTGAAGCTTGTTAACGGATCGGCAATGTTCAATTAGCGCCTACCGCTGTGTTGAATCCTATCATTAAACTATGGCCATTCCGAGGTTGGGCTTTGGATTTCATTGGTCAAATTTATTCTTCGTCATCAAAAGGGCATTGGTTCGTGCTAGTTGCAATGGATTACTTCACTAAGTGGGCCAAAGCCGTGCCGCTCAAGAATATTACTTGTATGGAGGTAATTGACTTTATTTTGAAGCACATTGTTCATAGATTCAGTATTCCTCAAATGTTAAAGGAGCTTCTTTTATGTCCAAAGAAGTGAGAAGTTTTGCCGAATCTTATGATATTAAGTTGTTGAGTTCTTCTCTTTACTACACTCAGGCTAATGGATAAGCCGAGTAGAGTAATAAAACATTGTTGAAATTGCCGTTTTGCTAGTTGAGGTAAATCTTGGCTCTTTTTGGTATTTCAAGCAAGACGACTTGTCGGTTGAAGATTACAAGACCTTGATGGGAAACAATTTTGAAGACGTCATTGACAAGCGTTTGAAGACTTTGAAGGAGATGAAGACACTTCAAGATGGTGTTTTCGGAGAGCGATTAATGGGAAATACATGAAGAAATACTTCCCGAGCATTTGGCAAGATGCTTAGGAAGTCCTATGGCCGGTAATTGGATTATCGCCCTGAGATAACATGTTCACTTTTAGATTCACGTATGTTCACCAAAAAGGCAGGGGGCATGTGTTTACACCCAAATTTGGCACCTATGGACGAAATAGGGAAAAATTGCCAAAGTTTGGAAAGTATCGGGTTTCCTTCACAGGGCCGGTCAGACCGCAGGTATATGGGCGGTCTGACCGGCTAGTAGGGCCGGTCTGACCGCAGGTATGTGGGCAGTCAGACCGGCAGGGTCCGAGTCCTAGTCTGTTTTCGTTGGGTCTCGGGTTTCCTTGTTCGGGAAGGCATATTTCGTGTTTCCTTTGGTTTCTATCCCGAGTTGGGCATGGAGAAGGGCCTGTAGAGGGCAAGACCAACCCCTATTTAAGGGACAAGGCCAGTTCATTGTAAAACCCCCTAATACAATCTACTTGAATCGTTCTTTTACTATGTTTTCTATTTTACCCTAGTTTTAGTCCATCTTTATCGGTTTGCACCGTAAACCGTCTGCCGCCACTGCGAGAGTGCGACATCTCTTTGTAGGTTTGTCCTGGAAATCTTCCATTTTACCCACGAGACAGGTAGTTATCCTCATATCGATCTAAATCGGTCTAGAGGCTGATTTTAATCTCTAAATCGGCTCCGCTAGCCGGTTTAGCTGTTTTTCTCTCAAACCCATCTTAATTTGGCCCTTTGGCTAGATCGAGGTAGTTGACGACTCCATATCACTGCAAGACGTTTAGGTGTTGCGATCGTGTTTGTCAACTTGTCAAAAAAAAATTGCCAACATGACACACGGCGGAATCATTACCGACGAGTTCGCCCTGAAGCGTGTGATTAGCGAGATCCTTGAAGCGAATCGTGCCACCTATGACAAATAATTACGAACGAGCTGAGTTTCGAGTTAAGGATCAGAACATTGATGTTAGGTATGTGTCAATAATATTCCTTGCATGTGTCAAATAATTATGCGCGTCTGACATTCTGAGTCACGCAGTGATGCACATTGTTGCGTAACAATAATTAATACTCCATCTCTCCATTTCATATTATAATCTGCTTTAATTTTTTAAGTTTGCTATGTTTATAAAAAATAGTAATAATTTTAACACCAAACAAACATAATATCAAATATATATTCAATGTTAGGTTTAATGAAAAATAATTTGGTATTATACGAGTTTATTTTTCTCTATAAATTTGGAAAACATATAGGATTTTGACTTAGAAAAAAGTCAAAACTTATTAAAATACGAAATAGGAGTAGTAACCAACAAATCATCTCATGGACCTTGTTGTCAATAACTCCTTATTTATGTGGAATAAGTTCAATTTAAATCCCTCATCTTGAAGTGCTAGTCGAATTAGAATGTGTTGGTCAACTTGCAATACCCAATTACTCAAGGTCCCACTGCAATTTTGTGCCTGGTTAGAGCAGACGTGATGAGCTGACCGTGGTCAATATGGTTAAATCAGCATGGGGCCCACATAGGCCCAAATGTCAGCGGGTATGTCTTATTCTTCCTCTTCTATTCCCATCTCCGTAGTCTCCCTATCCTCCCCATTTCTCTTCAAGCATGTAGGTGGCGGCCGTAGTGTAAGTGATGGAGCACTATGTGATGACAATGGTTACTCGGCTTCGGAGAACATGGGACGACGGCAAGGCGATGCCTCTAGCACGGGGAGCCATGGTGAAGCAGCCACTAGGGACTTGCAGCGGCAAGTGGAGCAACACAGGACTGGTGACCACTGTAGAGTGCATGGTGAGAGCGTTAGTATTGCAGCGAACGGGTGGGGGAGGTGGTCCATTTCGTCCAACCCGTGCTGACGTCGCCTCGCACCGCTGGTCCCATCATCCCGCGGGATGCTGGTGAAGTGGGGGATTTGAGGCCGGTGCGTGTGGAAGGCATGCCTTCCTCAGTTCTTACTGAGTTCCGGCCTACATTACACGTCTGTCCTACCGACATTATGACCACTGGAGGTGTTAAATTAAGTTGTTTTTTTTGGGTTTCCTCCCTATTCTCTCGATTCAATCTTTATAAGTCGGTTAGAGGATAGGATAAGAAAAGTCCCATCCTATATGTACTCGTGCTCTATCCATCCAATGGAATCATTGTGTTGAGGCCATGTCAGATTTCACCGTTGTACAGGAGTATTTAATTAACTAGGTGATTCCCTGCACTTCGCTGCAGGAATTTATATTTTTTCCATTACAATCAAGGTAGAGGTAAAAAGAAAACAAATGAAATCTCAGGGCTTATCTGTATTAATCATGAATCAAACAAATGAAACCCACACTTTAATGTGAAAACATATTGACAAGTTTGTGTTAAATATTATAAAAATGATAGATAAATTTGTAAAAATATTGTGAAAATGATGTGAGGGGTAATGATTGGATATGTTTGCATGTTGATTTGTATAATTAAATAGATTGTAGATGATGTTGCCTGTTTGCATGAGGTGAATATGTAATTATTGCTAGTGGGTGATGATGTGGCATGGTCGCATGTTAAGCTTTAGCGTTAGTGGGTTTTAACTTTATAGAAAGTATAGATTGGCAGCTTATGCGCACTTGTTTTTTTCACCTAATGGCAGTGTTTAGTTCCATTCAAACTTTCAAAAATTCCGTTACATCAAATGTTTGGACATATGCATGTAGTATTAAATGTGGACAAAATAACCAATTGTATAGTTTGCATGTAAATTATGAGATGAATCTTTTGAGCCTAATTACGCCATGATTTGATAATATGATGCTACAGTAAACATTTGCTAATGACGGATTAATTAGGCTTACTAAATTCGTCTCACAATTTACACACAGAATCTGTAATTTGTCTTGTTATTAGTTTCCATTTAATACTTCAAATGTGTATCCGTATACTTAAAATTTTTTTTTGGCAGGCCAACAATTCGGAGAAGCTTGTCTACTGGGACACTTGAGTAAGGAAATTGAGAGATGGGGCGGTGAATGTGACCACTGACCAGCGTGTTGGCGCTGGATATGCACGGAGATGATCCGGAGGAAGATTCTTCAAAGCCGTCACGATCATCAGTACGACACACTCGAGAATAATTATGGCGAGTTCACCCTCACCCTCTATTGCATTGTGTGATAAGCTAGAATTTGGAAGCGGAGCTATGGACGAAAGAAATTTGTTTTGCTACATGCTAGAAGGTGCCAAGACTGAACAGTACTCCGTAGTGCGGAGTACAGTACGAGGAAAAACACTAGCTAGTAGTGAGAATAGTCAGACCGATAGTGGACAGGACATGATACCGAGAGATAAAGACGTAAAAGAGGAATATGAGAAAGACATGTAAAATTGTTATGGATTTTTATGTATCTGTTTTAGTATGAAAAGATGTCATTATTACCGAAACATTTATTCCATTTTAAGAGAGGCATATCATAAATGGGAGTGTTGAATTTACATCCTGTATTAGAACTACAACCCTGCCCTTTTTTGGACTTACGAGGTGCATCTTCAGCTCGATCCATGGCGACTCAACTCCCTCGGCTGCTCCCGTTACTCCTCTTTCTCCCCTTCTTCCACATCGCCGCCTCAACCTCGCCGTCCGGCCTCCACCCCGTCGTGCTGCTGCCGGACACCACCTGCAGCCAGCTCGAGGCACGCCTCACGGACGCCTACGTGCCGCCGTCGCCGCAATGCGCCGCGCACCACAAGGATCACGACGGCCGGTGGTTCCGGCTGTGGAAGAACACCACGGAGCTCGACGACCCAGCCGTTGCCCCCTGCGTCGCCGACCAGCTCCGCCTCGTCTTCGACCACGTCGCCGGCGACTACCGCAACGTCCCCGGCGTGGAGACGCGCGTCCTGGACTTCGGCTCCACCCGTGGGTTCCTCGCCGACGAGCCCGCCAACAGGTCCGCGGCCATGTCACCAACATAATAATCATCGTGAAAACTGAAAAGCTCTCATGGTTCCTACATGAGCAGAAACCGGTGCATGGGAAGGCTCGTCGAGGCGTTGGAGGAACTCGGCTACCGCGACGGCGAGAACCTCTTCGGCGCGCCGTACGACTTCCGGCAGTCGCCGGTGGCGCTGGGGCAGCCATGTAGGGCGTTCTCGCGGTACAGGCAGCGGCTCCGGGCTCTCGTCGAGCACGCGAGCAGGGCGAATGGGGACAGACCGGTCGTCCTCGTGTCGCACAGCGAAGGCGGCTACTTCGCGCTCGAGTTCCTCAACCGGAGCCCCTTGCCGTGGCGGCGGAGGCACATCAAGCACTTCGTCATGGCCTCCACCGGCGCCGGCGGGTTCGTGAGGTTCATGGAGGTCGTCGCGTCCTGCGTCAGCGACGTGTCCCCGCTTGCACGCGTGAGGAGGAGCGTCCCCAGCAAGTTCACGCCGCTGCCGTCGCCCAAGGTGTTCGACCGCGACACGCCGCTGGTGGTTACGCGGGACAAGAACTACACCGCGCACGACATGCCGGCGTTCCTCGCGGCGGCGGGGCTACCGGAGTTCGAGGTGACGCTGTACGAGACGAGGGAGCTGCCCATGGCGATGAACTTCAGAGCTCCTGTTGTGCCGACGACGTGCATCAACGGCATCGGCGTGCCCACGGCGGAGAAGCTGGTGTACTGGGACGGCAACTTCGGCGAGGCCCCCGAAATCGTGTACGGCGACGGCGATGGGCTTGTCAATTCGGCGAGCATATTGGCCCTCGACACGGTGATCGGCGATGATCCGATGCAGCAGTACTACAAGTCCATCAAGATCGCCGGCATGTATCACGCCGGCGTTATCTCCGACGGTGTCGCCTTGGAGCGTTTGATCAGTGAGATTCTTCGGGAGAGTTTTGTGCAAGATTCCAAGAAGGTGGATTATCGTCGAGTTGCTCAACTCTAAGTTGATCACTTTTTCTATTCTCTTTAACTCATCGTTTAGATCAACATGTATGCGCTACTTGTAATGTATTCACTTGGTTCCACATTATAAAATGTTTTCGTATCACTTACACACGTATAAATAAATCTGAAAACGTATATAAAACACCTATATGAATCCATGTATAAACTATAAACCTATTCAAACCAACATATTACAATACGAAATACAGTAAGTAACTGTTTAATCCTAACTTTTCTACTCATATATTTGTAACTAAAATAAAATGCTTCCTCCGTTCCATATTATAAGTCACTTTAATATATTTGTAAGTCAAAAAAAAATTTTAAGTGTAACTAAGCTTATAAAAAATATAGTAATATTTCAAACACAAAATAAATATATTATTAAAATATATTAAATATTACATTTACATGCATCATCCTCCTATATATTTACGTCTTTATCTATCAGTATTGTTTGTCTCGGGACTCCAGTCGGTCTGACTTTTCTCACTACAAGCATTTTTCCTCGTACGGTCTGTCTTGTGACTCCAAGCTTCGAGTTGCTCAACTCTAATTTACCAGCACTAGGATTTCTATCAGTTGATCACTTCATTCTCTTCAACTCATCGTTTAGAACATCAACACGTGCATGGTTCCATTATAGTTGTTTCATCATTACCTTTTTTTTTAATAAATAACGCAGTTGACTTTTAGACATGCTTAATTATTCATCTTATTCAAAAATTAAGTAATTATAATTCATTTTGATATGATTTTTTATCATTAAAAAATCGGTGGCGCTAATACGCATAGAATGCAGTTTGAGCGCCGCACAACGCTCCCTCCATCCAGTTTTCTCTTTTTTTACCACCCCACCTTTACTCAGTATCCCACCATTCCTCTAGATTTTTTCTGTTATCTCATTTTAGTAAAATATTTACCATATGGTTTTTCTTTCCGAGTTTTCTGCTTTTCGAGTGTCTCTCGACGTTTCAAAAGTAACAAATTTACTCTACTAAGTTTTCCATTTGCTCCCAACATCCCACCTTTGCACCTTCAAAAATAACAAATTTACTCGCATGAATGTCCCATCAAAAGTAACAAATTTACTTGCATGAATGCCCCTACACCATTCCTAGATGGCCGTAATAAAATTACTACCAGCTTACAACGCTAGTAATTCTTTTACCAGTAATAAATATTGTTTAGACTTCGTAGTATGTGAGTAGGGTTGTAAACGGATGGAGAAGAGAGAGAAGAAGTACCACGATAGATAAACAGGTACTATAGATAGCTTTATATGTTATCTACCACTCAGGTAATAGACGAATATCCTATTATTGTCCGTACAGTTACAACCATTCTATTCTTGTTTATGGACTACAACTTTCTTCGTACACACATGCACCTCCACAAATCTCTCTTGGCCTAAAATTATGCAGCACCCCTTCACACCCCATTCCTCATAGCCATCTCCTCTCCTCTTGACCCCATTTCGGTGCTTAACCAAACTCACCATAATATCAGTTCATCCACAACAATGTCGGCCTACTGCGGCAAGTACAAAGGTATGATCCATCCACAATCATCCTTCTCTCTTGGTGTTCTTCTCTCCAGTACTAGGGTCATGCGCATGGATTTGTGTGGTCTTAGATCTAGTTTTGGTGATAGGATTCGGGAAGAGTTTTCCATTCAGCATCTGTAAATCGATCGTGTACTTTAATTTATCTCGCCATATAGTGCATGTACTTATTAATCTAATGGAGATTGCTTTTATCATAAAAATACGTTAAGATTCATTTTATTAATACAAATGGCATCTCTAGTGATAAATTGTGCATTATTTTGTGACACAGTTAAGTTGATCTAGATGGCATGCATGCATGACTTGGTTGGATTAAATAAGCATCTATCAGGCATAATTTACACTAGGCAATTGGGATAAATCAATAATTAAATCCACAAGGAGATGCTGAAATTGTATTTGTATGCTGTATATCTTACAGATGAGCTCATAAAGAATGCTGCCTACATTGGCACCCCGGGCAAGGGTATCCTCGCTGCGGACGAGTCCACTGGCACCATCGGCAAGCGCTTCGCCAGCATCAATGTTGAGAACGTCGAGGATAACCGCCGTGCCTTCCGCGAGCTCCTCTTCTGCACCCCTGGCGCCCTCCAGTACATCAGCGGCGTGATCCTCTTCGACGAGACCCTCTACCAGAAGACCAAGGATGGCAAGCCCTTCGTCGATGTCCTCAAGGAGGCCGGTGCCCTCCCCGGCATCAAGGTGGACAAGGGCACCATCGAGGTCGCCGGCACCGACAAGGAGACCACCACCCAGGGCCACGATGACCTCGGCAAGCAATGCGCCAAGTACTACGAGGCCGGTGCCCGCTTCGCCAAGTGGCGTGCCGTCCTCAAGATCGGACCCAACCAGCCCTCCCAGCTTGCCATTGATCTGAACGCCCAGGGCCTTGCTTGCTACGCCATCATCTGCCAGGAGAACGGGCTGGTGCCGATCGTCGAGCCGGAGATCCTCGTCGATGGCCCTCACGACATCGATCGATGCGCGTACGTCTCCGAGGTGGTCCTCGCCGCGTGCTACAAGGCGCTGAACGAGCACCATGTCCTCCTCGAGGGCACCCTCCTGAAGCCCAACATGGTCACCCCGGGTTCCGACGCCAAGAAGGTGGCGCCGGAGGTCATCGCGGAGTACACCGTCCGCACCCTCCAGAGGACCGTCCCTCCTGCTGTGCCGGCCATCGTCTTCCTCTCCGGTGGACAGAGCGAGGAGGAGGCGACGCTGAACCTGAACGCCATGAACAAGCTCAGCGCCAAGAAGCCGTGGTCGCTGTCCTTCTCCTTTGGCCGTGCCCTGCAGCAGAGCACGCTCAAGGCCTGGGCTGGCAAGACGGAGAACGTAGAGAAGGCCAGGGCGGCCTTCCTCGTCAGGTGCAAGGCCAACTCCGAGGCTACCCTGGGTACTTACAAGGGTGATGCTGTCCTCGGCGAGGGCGCTGCTGAAAGCCTGCACGTCAAGGACTACAAGTACTGATCTGCATCAGGCGCTGGCCTGCTATGGCTTGGCTACCTGATCGATTTCCCATTCTGGGGCCGTTACATAATGCGGTTTTGATATCTAGAGGCTCTAACAGGATTCACAATTTCGGATCGGAATTTCAGAATTTTTCCCTTTCCGATAGATCGAACCCTGGAGCACAATATATCTGTGGTTATCTAAAAGCCTTGTCTTAATAATCCAGAACCTTTTTTTTTCTTGTAAAATATTTGCTGATGAACATCAGCTGGCCCGGAGTTTTTATTTTTATCAATCACTTTGTAACTGTCTGATTTGCCCGGTGCTGTGTGATTTTGTTGAATGAAATTAACTTCACTTCTTTGAGTTTAGTCGATTGAGCTGCTCTATTTCAATATGAAGCTTTGAAGCCTTAAAATTGTTGAATTTATAAGCCTATAACGATTTAATTTATTCCATATATAAATCATGACATTGCAGATTTAAACTAGCATAAACGCATCATTAGATCTACACATATAAACTAGACAATAAAGCATGAACAGGGAGCAGTCGTGCGAAGCGCTTCCCGAAAACCTTATTGCCGCCTTCTCCTGGTGCTGAACGTCGAAGGCGGAGGTTCCGAACTTGATCAGGACGCCTGCACGATCTCCACTCAGCTTATATAGAGATATCAGGGCGCCTGCACGATCTCCGCTTAGCTTATATAGAGATATCAGGACGCTTGATCAGGACTCCTGCACGACGTACGATCTCCGCTTAGCTTATATAGAGATATCAGGACGCTTGATCAGGACACTGTTGATGGTCGTCTGCGATCAGTTTCGCCCGTCAATATTACCAAAATAAAGGAGAACTAGTTATACTTGCAATGCATATTTATGTTAAAATAATAAATATTCTACTAGCACTAGGATTACTAAGCTCTTGCAGAGAATAAACATAAAACGGAGGAGAATTGACATCAAAATAGGCGATCAATCAATCGGATGATATCGAGAATCAGACTTATCAATAAATGAGCCAAGAACGCAGAAATGACACGATTAATTGGGCCAAAATTCACAAGTCTGAAGTGAGCAATAGAAGAGGTGGCCGCCAGCCAAAAATGGGCTGGATTGGGCTAGCCCCTAGTTTGGAAACGGAATCTGTCGATCGGATTTTTTTTCGGAAACGGAAACGGAAACGAAAACGAATTGGAAACATTTTCTTGGAAACAGAATCGAATATGATAAGGGCAGTTTCCATCGGAACTCAAAATCGGTCGGAAACTTTCCGAAAAATTTATCGGAATTATAAAGGCCCATACCATAGTCTATAATTCCCCCCCACCCCGGCCATCCCAAAATTTGAGACTTGGGAATTGGATTTGACATAGTTTAAAACATAGTTTGAGGGATTTTTGAATTCCGATAAATTTTCGTTACCATATCAACGCCGGTCCGTTTTCGCTCCGTTTTCGGCTTCGACAATATTTGATTCCATTTTTATATCCGGGGTTTCCGATTCCGAAAAAAAATATAAAAACGAAAACGATAAATGTTGTTTCCATCCGTTTTCGTACCGATTTCATCCTACACATAATACTATTGCACTGTCATCCCTCCCTCTCATCTCTGACTCGAGTTCTATGCTATTCGTTCCTCTCCAGTCTCCTCCCTATTTTCATATACTAAACTACTCCCTCCTTCGCAAATTGATCATCACATATGTTTATGCACCAAAATCAAGGATAATTTAAATCATATCAATCAAGATACCATGCACACATTCTCCCACAATATATGCATCGATTAAAACACCATGCCAATTACATCTTAGCATGTGCATACTCACATGCTATATTAATTGTAGTCTAATGAAATTCGTGTTCATGCGGTTATATGATAATTAATTTAAGAAATTTTAAATTCCATTATATGATGATCAATTTGGGAAGGAGGGAGTATTTGCCTAATTATAAAAATAATTTTAAGCTACACTTGTAATTTTCTAATCTAATTGTTTCTTTATTTATAATTAATAAAGCAATAATTCAAGATCCATGTGCCGATATTTATTTATATAAAAATATGACATTTTGGCACATTCCACCGTGCACTTTGCAGGTCACCCAAAGAGCGATGGAATACTAAAAAGCATTATCAACATATATTTCCTTATTATACATCAATCTAGAAATATGAATCGCTAAATTAAATCAATATTATTAAAAAAATGTAAATTCATGTTTTAACGGTGCGCAACATCCCTAACATTTTACGTGTCATTCGAATTTCCACTAAAGATTTTGGAATAATTCAACATCATAAGTTGCACTATCATATATTATTTTGCAACCATACGTAACTAAACTAATTAGACATTCCGTACATAAAAAATAGCTCGAACACAAATAGTCCAAGCGACTACGTAGAAATAAATTCATAGGGACAATCATCCGAATTGCCAAAAAAATAAATTAATTCAACAAACAGGTTGTAAGTACATTGTTTCGCAAGCAAGGTATAATTAAATTAGATATACACTACATAAGGAAAATAACTATCTGAAATCTGATTTGTATAAAAAAAATTGGTGCCTTCAGTTAGAGAAAATAATCCGATTACTTCATGATTACTTTTGCAATTAATATGCTCAAATAATCAAAACAAGTCAAATGATCTTCTGCCTAAGTGTTTTAAACTTATTTTATTTATCATTTAATCGACTTTAGATGATGGTTGCTTTTTACTATAAAGCCACCACCTGTTACCCCATAAATACTCCTAGGCCTTTTAAATCGATGAACTCATTATTTCTAATGGTTAGAAATAATATTTATGATACATCGCATTCAAAAAATATATATTGCACAACTATATTTCTTCATCCAGCATTATTCACACTAGGTTGCAACTCTATATGGAACGTTCACATATGGATTCTCTCTCAAACTAAAAAATAATATTTGGCTATATAAACCCATATATTTAGTGGAGCCTCATATCTCACCGAATTCATCCGTCAATGAACAATGACAACCTATATTCAATTAAAAAACTTCTTACTTTTGACTTTACACTTAATTTGGTATACATGTTTTATTACACAAAATAAATCTACCTTCTTTTTAGATGGTGAAAAATATTATAAATAATTGCTTGGAGGGATTAATTAAATATGATATGTTATAAAGCTAATTAATAGCTAGGTTAGAAAATTATAAAAGCAATGCTAATAAAAACAATTATGGAAAAATCGTATACATGAGATGTTCATACAAAGTCTGTAACACATAACACATGTTCGCGCGAATGCAAGGCTGTCTTTCTAGCTTGTCCCAAAGTCATATAAAAAAAATAGGGGGAGTAAGTATTACGTAGGTGTAGGTGGCTCAAAATAGCAAAACCGTTTTTCTTTTCGAGAGGAAGGAACACTGATTGCAACTGTGGTACCCATGCACTGTGCATACACCAATAAGATCAGCATGCAGCCACGTGGTAGATGGGCTATCACTATCAGCACCCACCTATCCTTATCGTCGGCACCCTGTATCTCCACGTCGATCAATGGCCACCACACAGCTGCATCGGCTGCTGCCGCTCCTCCTCTTCCTCCCATTCTTCTACCTCGCCGGCGGACGGCGGCACACCACCACCTCCCCGCCGCGCCGGCGCGACGCGCCCTCCGGTGGTCTCCCCCCGGTCGTGCTGCTGCCGGGGAGCACCTGCAGCTAGCTGGAGGCACGCCTCACGGACGCCTACGTGCCGCCGTCGCCGCAATGCGCCGCGCACCACCACGAGGCCGACGGCCGGTGGTTCCGGCTGTGGAAGAACACCACGGAGCTGGACGACCCCGTCGTCGCGCGCGCCCTGCGTCGCCGACCAGCTCCGCCTCGTCTTCGACCACGCCGCCGGTGACTACCACGGCGTCCCCGGCGTGGAGACTCGTGTCCTGGACTTCGGCTCCACCCGTGGGTTCCTCGCCGACGTGCCCGCCAACAGTTCAGCTCGCCGAGACTACTGTCTCCCATGAATTGCGCCAACAAAAACACATCGATCGTGACGAGAAATACTGTGGTTTGTACACGCGAGCAGAGACCTCTGCATGGGAAGGCTCGTCGAGGCGTTGGAGAAAGTCGGCTACCGCGACGGCGAGACCTTGTTCGGCGCGCCGTACGACTTCCGGCAGGCGCCAGCGGCACCGGGGAAGCCGTGCAGGGCGTTCTCGCGGTTCCGGCGTCAGCTCCGGGCGCTTGTCGAGCACGCGAGCAGGACGAACGGGGACCAACCGGTCGTCCTCGTGTCGCACAGCCAGGGCGGCTACTTCGCGCTCGAGTTCATCAACCGGAGCCCCATGGCGTGGCGCCGGAGGCACGTCAAGCACTTCGTCATGGCGTCCACCGGCGCCGGCGGGTTCGTGCTGGGATTGCAGTCCCTGGTCTCCGGCGTCAGCGACGCCTCCCCGATGGGCCTTGCCGGGAGGAGCCTCGCCTGCAAGTTCACGTCGCTGCCGTCACCCAAGGTGTTCGACCGCGACACGCCGCTGGTGGTCACGCGGGACAAGAACTACCGGAGCTCCTGACGGCAGTCGGTCTCCCGGCGTACGAGGTGACGCTATACAAGACGAGGGCGCTGCCGGTGGCGATGAATTTCAGGGCGCCGGCGGTGCCGACGACGTGCATCAACGGCGTCGGCGTGCCGACGACGGAGAAGCTGGTGTACTGGGACGGCGACTTCAGCCAGGCCCCGGAGATCGTGTACGGCGACGGCGATGGGGTCGTCAATTCGGCGAGCATACTGGCTCTCGACACGGTGATCGGCGAAGATCCGAGGCAGGGGTACTACAAGTCCGTCAAGATCGCCGGCACGTCTCACGACGGCGTTGTCTCTGATGGTGCCGCCTTGGAGCGTCTGGTTAGTGAGATTCCTCGGGAGAATTTTGTGCAAGCTTCGAAGGAGGAGGATAGTCGGGTTGCTCAACTGTAATTTATCAGCACTGGGATTCCTATTAGTTGATCACTTCATTCTCTTCAACTCATCGTACACGGCCAGACAATAATTCCGCCGTGTTTAGTTACAAAGTTTTTCTTCAAACTTTCAACTTTTTCATCATATCAAAACTTTGCTACACACAAAAACTTCCAATTTTTCCGTCACTTCGTTCCAATTTCAACCAAACTTTTAATTTTGGTGTGAACTAAACACAGTTCATTAGAAATAATTAGACGGGTGCTCGGGCGTACTTTCCCCTAATGTTCGGCTGTGGTCCTTTCTCCATCAAAAGTTGATGAATTTTTGGATAATTGTGACGCGTTTTTTAAACTGATAAATAGTGTGTTTCGTGCGAAAACTTTCTATATGAATATTGCTCTAAAATATCAGATTAATCTATTTTTTAAGTTTGTAATAATTAAAACTTAATTAATCACACGTTATTGCCACCTAATTTTTTTATAAAACACTTAATTTTTATCTTTATATCTGAATATAGAGATTCAAACACCACCGTCAGCATCGAACTGAGTTGGGGCTTGGACTCCTGTTGTTACTAGTCGGGCACTCAAGGCCTCAACTCGCTGCAGCCTAGCAAGTAGCTGGGCCAAGTGCACCACTGTGCGGAATGGATCCATCCGCCACAAAAGACGCTCTTAAAAGAGCAAACACTCGTGGGTTTACTTTAAATAAATAGGCCTGTTAAGGCTGTGTTTAAATAAACACTTGTCGGTGAAAAGTTTCGGTGTGTCACATCGGATATACAGATTGTATTAAACGTAGACTAATAACAAACAAATTGTAGATTCCGCATGTAAACTGCGAGATGAATTTATTAAGTCTAATTAATCCATCATTAGCAAATATTTACTGTAGCACCACATTATTAAGCAAATGTTTACTGTAACACCACATTGTCAGATCATGAAGCGATTAGGTTTAAAAGATTTATCTCGTAATTTTCACACGATCTATGTAATTATTTTATTTATCTATATTTAATACTCCATATATGTGTCTAAACATTTGATGTGACAAGGTGAAAAAATTCACCAGGAATCTAAACAGGCCCTAAATAGAAATATCCAAAAAGAAAGTCCGACAAACACGCAGCTGCACGTGGGGTCGTAGGATCGTACGATCGCGTGGGATGTTGGACTAGCGATCGATCGTGCATTAGACATACGCGTGCATTACCCAAACGGTTGCCCTTTGGGATTTTTCACCATACGCGTCGTACAGTCACGCCACCATTCTAGATTAATCACGCGCCTATGGCTAACGGCTACACACACCCATGGCCCAATGCCTGCCGCAAGAGCAGCCCAGCCAACGAACCAGCACTTTGGTCAGCACAAAAAAATCAAAAAAAGCCAATGTCTGATGGTTTTTGAGCTAGCTTTGCCGAGAATTAAAAAAAGGTAAAATTTTGATGTTTTAAATAAATAAACAAACCATCAGACAAAAAAAAGCAAGGATCAATTAAACAACATCAAAAAAATTAGATCAAAGCATATGAAGGATATATTGAAGATTTCCCCACCAGCATGTAAAAACATCTCCCTCTCTCTACGTCACCTGCATTAACCATTAAGTATTCTATAGGCTTTAGCACGTTTATGGATGAAAATATTGGAAAATAATAAATTTTCAGTTCTGAAAAAACAATAGTAAATTCTTGAGAAAATGTGAAAGCAATACGGGCACTTGATAAGCTTAGGAACTGCTAACATGCTGATCGACCTTGGGTGTTGGCCAATTGAGCTGGAAGTCACTACACCGGATCGGTCACCTCTGACGGGTCTAAACCCTCACTTTTGACGGGTTCGGCCTGGTCAGAGATTAGTGGTCACTGATAATTTTGAGTTACCTGTGATGGGTGAAGGCTCGTCAGAGTTAAGAGTCACCTCAAATGGGCCCCAATTAAAACCTATCACTGGTGAAAGTCACCTCTGACTAGTCCTAACCAAAACCCGTCACGGGTGAGAGTCACCTCTGACGGGTTTATATTTTAACACGTTACTGATCATAATTGGGAACGCCACTGGTGTGAAATAAGGAAAAATAAAAAAGAGAAACACCAGCCTCCTAACTTACCATCACATTTATTTGTATTGAATGCATCTGGCATTCACAAATAAAAAAATTGTCACAATTCTTCTTGTGTCCATCGCAGTTGTCCTAATAACGAAAATAAAAAATAAAAATCACGGGAATCTCACCATAGGAATCAAAATACAGTAGCAACAATGCAACATCCCCCAAATTGATTGATAAGAGTAGACTTTGTTAATAACCCTTACGACAGTCAGGTGGTGGCGACTGGCGACTGGAGCTTGGGCGGGGAGCCAACATCCCCGAAATTGATTGATAAGAGACTAGAGCCCCAAATTGGTGGCGACTGGAGACTGGAGTCACATCCCCAAATTGATTGATAAGAGAAGACTTTGCTAATAACCCTTACGACAAGCCAGGGCCCGAAAACGGTAACAGATCCATCTCATACAGTTGGCCTAATACTGCAACTCACTGCGTTTTTTGGTCCGGGCAACCATCCTTATAAGCTGCTCCCTCTCTTCTCAAATTGGCGAGGTGGGACTAAAGCTAGCTACAGCTTCACAGCCGCTGCTCTCTGCTCGCTGGCTGCACTGCCGCTTCTTTGCTGCTGCTCCTGCTGCTTGCTCACATGGGCCGGCCAAGGCCCAAGGCATGCTGCTGCTGGGCTACTTTGCTGTGGGCTGCACGCATGGGCCAAGGCCCAAAGCTCATACTAGGAAATTAACTTAGACCTATATATTAACATGGGGAAGATCCGTACTGAGCTGGTCGCCTATCTCTAAATTGCTCTAGGCCAAGCACGCTTAACCTCAGAATTCTTTAGAGATCGGCTTCCGAAAAAGAAGTTGCAACTTGTTGATATAAGTATTCTATTAATCCTATTAAGCCCTGGGTCGGGATGTCACACACGTCATTGCATATCTCTGGTAAGCAAGCTACACAATTATATCAAGATAAATGTAAGGTAAAGTCGGTACTTAAATAATAAGAGTGAGGTAAAATACCGAGACTGAATAAAAAAGATTATTTCATTAATTTTACAAGTCTTACAAAAAAAAGAGAAAAGCTACTAGAGTCATACCCGAATTCTCCTGAAGACTCGAGGACTAAGAAAACTATTTTATTTTCTACACCACTAGCACTAGAATACTAATTAAACTTGAGAAGAGCTTGATTCTTGTTGCTTGAGTGTGTGAAGAAGTGAGTGAGGTGAGCTCCTTTTATAGGTTCAGTATGACAGTTATGATGGTTGGAAAGGTTAGAATCCTGGACGTCCACGCTAAACCCTAGCCTGAACGGCTGAGATGGGGGTTCAGTCGAATCTTGGCCTGGCCTAGAAGGCCCAATTTTTTGCAGGCCTCCTCCTGGTTGATTCCTTAGTCCAGTGACGTGGTGTTTTGGGCCTTTTGAGATTATTTCTTTGGATTTGTAGGCCCATCTATCCACAAGTCTACCTCTTGACGACTTCCAATTGATTGTTCGTTTGTTTTTCGTCGAACTGCAATCGAATAGAATCCAAGTACAAGTGGAAATAAATTATTCTAAAACAAATATGAATTGCAAGCATAGCTAGTTCTCCATTATTTTGTGTATATTGACAGTTGAAATTGCTCTATAACGACCATCAAGGAAGGCCGAGAGCCCCAAGTGCAGGGTGACGAGTGGCTTTGGGCAGAGGGTGACGAGTGGCTTTGGGCAGGATTTGGCGCAAGGCGGCGTCGACCAAGGTGATGGCACGGCGTGGCTAGAGCGGCAGCTAGAGGTGGAGAGAGAGGTAGAGCGTGGCGACGGCTCTAGGGCAAGGTAAAAACTTGGGAAAAAGGTGGAAAAGGGAGAGGAGGTCCAGGGCGTGCTATTTATAAGCAAAGAGGGAGGAGATCGGCTTGGATACGGTGGGGTTTGGCGGCAGAAGAGTTAGGGTTCGCCGGCAAAATAGGAGATCAAAACCGTTCCTATTCACGGAGATAAATCACGAGATTTCTTCGATTACTTGAGGGGAAAGAAACAGGAGGATAAGGGAAAGAAATCCCCTCAACCAATTTGTGAAATGGAACAACGAAACGGCCAAATTAGGAGGGGAATCAACACCGGGTCGGGCACTGCCTCAGGCCGGAGGTTGAAAAGGCACGGTAGCAAGAGGGATGAAAAGTAGACTGGGGAAAAAGACAGGCCCGAAAGGAAGGAGGAAAGGAGGGCGGCCCGAGAGAGAGGAGATGAAGGAGGGGCATGCGGGCCAAGGGAGGGGTGGTAGACATTGGGAAGAAAATGGCCCAAGAACCCAAGAGAGAGATTTTATTTGTTTTCCATTTATATTTAATTGGTTTAATGAACTTTGTGATATTAAAATTAGATATTGAGCTCCGAAAATTCACAGGAAATTCTAGAGAGTATTTTAGAGCATGAAGAATATTACAAAAATATTTCCGGCCATGATTTTTAAAGGAAAATTTTTAATTCCCTCAATAATTGACTTGATTAAATTGCTTTAACTTTTAATATAATTTCTAGAAATGCATTATTATTATGATTTTTAATCCCGAATGAAAATCGGGGCATGACAAGTATTAAGTATTGTAATACAATGTGCCATGCACTTATTACGCGGTTGATAATTTTATAATAGCTTAAGGAGTGGAAATGTTATACTATAGTTGTGGTAGTAAATGAGGCAAAATCATTTATACAGGTTTAGGCTGCGTGGTGCATAATACCCTACTCCTGTGGGGTTCTTTCCGTTATATTTTTTTTCAGAGACTAAAGGATGGTGCAAATCCTATGGAGTTTTTTTGTGTTTCCTACAACCCTTTCTGAAGTCCTTGGCTCTCCCCTTGTAGTCAATGGGAAAATACCACAGTTGTAGAACCCTCGCGACTGAACCGTAGCACAGAGTGGTTAGATATGGGAAGTCTTATTGCTTGTAGAAGAGTGGACCAAGATGCAAAACCGCCATGCACCCCCCCCTCCTCCTACCTCTAGTGGCAACATTGGGAAGATGCTGTGATGATCTGCCATGCATCCTGCGCGACAAGGAAAAGCTTGGGGTAGAAGGCTGGTGCTCTAATGGCCAATTGTTGAGCCCCACTTGTTAGCCTCAGGAGGTGGAACATGTAGAAAGGTGTAGGACTTGCCGGGAAGCACATTAGTCAACCGTGCCACTTAACAGCCCACGCCCCTCCCCGTAGGGATGATGATGCTGTGCAAGATGGCTGTGCAGCTGCTATCCCGTTAGACTGGTCGCATGTAAAGTGTCATATCACATTTAATGCAAAGCCTACACACAAAAGAGCACAGCAGGACACTGTGTCTCAATGCCATTAATGCACTGCTATTATCCTCGAGAAGCTCGGTACACCGATCTCGGGGACAAAAGATGATTATGCCCCGAGCTCAGATCCTGGCTTCCAACCTGAAGGGAGACCCCAAGCTTAGCCCTGCTTGGGGCAGCCAAGGTTCCCGACCGGCCTCCTTCATGGTGTATCACAGGCACTGTGGCAGACTATCGATTCATTGGGTCGTCTAAATAAACACACACACACACATACGTATGTATCTCACTGAAACACCTTAACAACTGCTCGGAAGGCATACTTTTATTAACCAATTGGTCACACTGTTATACTCATTCATACAAATATAACTTATTAATGTGCATACTTTCTATGCTAAACATAGTTAATGAAATATAATTGTCTCCATGAATGACTCCAAGGCAGAGCAAGAGCACTTTCCTGACAGGAAACAAACATCACTTTGTTTTCCTTGACAGTGCTAATGGAGAGAACTACTGTTACTTTGATGCAACCCATGAAAGATTCGTCCAAGTAATAGCCATGGCATCATTACAATTTGTTTTCTCATTGTATAGAGGACAAAGCAATATAACAATGTTAGATATAATATTTTCTTAAAACATCATGAAGTACTGCAAAGGTTCTCTATGCCACAAATGCATTTAGTGTTGCACCTAAATGTCAACCCCAAAAGCATGGGCTTGACCACATCAATAACCTTGATAATCACTACAAACAATAGCCTATAGATGACAATCATGCCACAAAGTACCGCAAGATCCACCCATCTTGAATGACCTGTTTCCACTTGAAATAACTCAACAATAACTTTTTCACCACTCACTGTTTCCTGTCCTCCTAGGTTACTTTGGAAGACTAACCCTGAGAACTCATTCTTGTAAAACCCCTGCAGTGCATACTTGTGAAAGGAAATGTAGTACATTGGGTACTTCCATACTATCTTTGGAAGGTTATTAGGTATTTGGAAGAATCCACTAGTAAGCATCATAATACCTTGTATACCAGCACCTGTGATTATCCCCATTAGGAAATCTGGTACAATGGTTGCTACGATCATCATTAGGGCTTCGACTAGCATTGTGCATGCACAAAGTACTAGCGCAAAATAGACAAAATGTTCAATTTTCCCTTGTAAGCCAGTAAGATAGTATGCAATTGCACCAGGTACTACAGCATTAAGGAGAAGGTATGGTATGGATGACAATGTATTGGAGATGACAAATGCGGCCACACCATAGTGTCCATTTAGTCTTTTCCTGAAGATCTGAGCAACATGAGACATACAAGAGTTTAAATTTCATTAGGCAAAATTTGATGCACAAACGCAAATTCATTTGATAAATGAATGTTTTTTCTAACCAGATTGATAAATGAATGTTGTCTTAAAATGAAATATTTAGTTTTGGTCAGGCTGCAGAATGTTAGGAGCTTTATTCTAATATTTTTGGTTGTAAGCTTGGATACTTTCCTGTAAGATATCTTGGTATTTCTATGCATTTTAGGAAACTAAACAACAAGGGCTAGAAAACAATTGAGGAAAGAATTGACAAGAAACTTTGTAGTTGTCTGTAGGGGGGGAGATTGGTGTTAATTAATTCTGTGCTTTCTAGTTTAGCCATGTTTATCATATATTTTTTTGAGATTTCAAAAGGAGTTCTTCAAAAAATTGATTATTATAGGCCACGTTTCTTTTGGCAAGGTGATGAGCATAAGAAGAAATATAGACTTACAAGATAAGATATTATATGTCATCCTAAAGATCAGGGTGGTCTTGGAGTTCATAATTTAGAAAATCAAAATTAATGTCTTTTTAGCAAGTTGTTGTTTAAGCTAATTAATGAACAGGGTGTTTGGCAAGATCTATGGAAAAGAAAATATTTGAATAATCAGGCTTTTAAGTCAAGTTGAGTGGAAACAAGGGGATTCCCATTTCTGGTCGGGCTTTATGAAAGTTAAGAGCACATTTCTAAATATGGGTTCTTGGATTGTGCATAATGGTCAGCAAGTGAGATTTTGGGAGGATAATTGGGTAGGAAATTCTTCTTTTAAAGATAAGTACCCATCACAATATGCTATAGTTCGAAGGAGAAACTCTTCGATTGCAAATATTATGTCTTATGTTTCTCTGAATGTTTCTTTTAGGAGAGCTTTAGTAGGTCAGGATATGACTAATTGGCATAATTTATGTGCTTCAATTGTTCATATTCATTTGACCGGGGATAATGATATTTTTAGATGGAATTTTCATCAAAAGGGTCAATTCTCTGTTCGTTCTATGTATTTAGTTTTAATTAATCATGGTTATGTTGGAGAGGAATAAGTTTATATGAAAACTTAAGATGCCTCTTAAGATTAAGATTTTTATGTGATACCTACTTAAAGGGGTTGTCTTGACATAGGACAATTTGGCTAGGAGGAACTAGCATGGTCGTATGAAATGTTGCTTTTGCATGAAAAATGAGACTATTCAAACATTTATTTTTGGAGTGTCATTATGCAAAATTTATATGCTCTACAGTTTTCTTGTGGTTTATATGCTCCACATAGTATATCTCATATTTTTTAGAATTGGCTTGTGGGAGTGGATAAAAAAAGTAGTAAACTTATTCTTGTTGGAGCATCCGCTATTTGTTCGGCCATATGGCTACATAGGAATGATATGTTTTTGGCAAGTCACCTTATGTACCTTATATGTAGGTTCTTTTCAGGGCAAAATACTGGCATGTCGTAATATTGATTCAATGGTTAACTATTGTTGTTGGAGCATCCGCTATTCTTGTTGGAGCATCCGCTATTTGTCATGGGCTCAACTACTAATGTTTGATGATGATATCAAGCTAGTAAAAACTGCATGTCGTAATATTGATTCAATGGTTATGCATCTTTTCGCCAACTTTGGATGAAGATTCACAAATAGAATTCAATAATCATGTGTTCTTTTAGGTTGGTTTTTGTTTGTGCCCCAGTTTTGAAAGGAGTGTGTTTTTAAGTACTTGTGTGTGCTCCTGTTTTGTGAGGAGTGTGTTTCTATGTCTTTGTTTTATTTAGTTCGAGTTTGGTTGAACTGGTGTAATAATTGTCTGTACCTCTTTAAGTAAAGTCCGGGATTTAATTCCATTATCTAAAAAAAGAATGTTGCTAATTTGATTATTTCATATGTCATAAAATGTGACCTCTTGTGCAAATGGCAAGTATTTAAAATATTTTAATAAAATTATGAAAATCATCACTCTATATTTATTAATAAATAATTTATTGCTTCAAAATCTATATATACTAATTAGAGAGGCTTCACCAAGAGGAACCGACATAAATCCCAATAAAAGATAGAAAAGTTAGAAATTCCAATATTGAACTTGTGAGTTCATCTATCAAACCTATGGCCAGATATCGTCCAACAAATAATATTTGGATTTATTAAAACTCGAGTTAGTAATGAGTTAGTAAATACCTAGTTGTACTCACTTGGAGTTCTCTGTTGAAGTATTCATTTTAGCAATCCAAATTTCAGAATCAATAAAAATTAATAATTTCAGTTTGTTTTTTCACGATCAAATAATATTGAAATCAGAAAATATTAATCAAATAATATTTGTTACTCCCTCCGTTTCAGGTTATAAGATATTTTGACTATTGTCAAAGACAAACTGCTTTAAGTCTGACTACGTTTATAGACAAATATAGTAATATTTACATTACCAAATTAGTTTTATTAAATTATAATTAAATTTGTTTTTACAATAAATTTATCTTGCGTAAAAAATATATTACTATTTTTTTCTATAAATTTGGTCAAACTTGAAGCAGTTTGACAGTTGTCAGAGTCAAAACATCTTATAACCTGAAACAGAGGGACTACTGGTTCTAAAATCTGATTTACAATATTGTAAGCCGATATTAATTTTGTAAAATACGTAGCATGTATGGATGGACACGTTGATGTAGTTAAAGCTTAATGGTAATTCAGTATACTCAATCCAGTAAAAAATAGAAATGAGTTAGAATTATTTTATCTCCCTGAATTTTTTCAGGATACTAAGAGTTTTTTTAGGTTTTTCTATGCGGAACCTAAATTGGAAATGAATTTATTTTTCTGTTCTTTCTCTCTTAGTTAAATAATGTTCTTCCTTTTCCTCTATGTAAGAAAGTTTGATGAAACTTTGTGCTTCAGTTAAATAAACTTTAATAAAAAAAACTTCAAAATCAACTTCAAATTTATGGTTCAAAATTCAAATTTTGGCAGCGGCTGATGATGAATGGGGGAAACGATGGGAGCCTCGGTTGCGTTGATACTTTGTTGAATCATTATAAAGTATTATGATTTTGCACTGTTGTATACACAAAGTGCTGGTGAAATGCATAATCGATTCCAGACATCGCTTCTATGCTCACCTACAAATTTATTTATGTTGGTATATACGGTCGAATTTAAAAAATCATATAGAGAAAACACGTTTGATCTTTCTGTTCATAAATATACATATAAGTTAAATTCATAATACCTTCATGTCCTCCACGAAGGAGGGGAACCCTCCAATTGCCATAAAGGTTAGCAGTGTGGCAATAAACATTAGCATGTGTGATCTAGCCTGAAAGAATCAAAATTAATTAATTAATATATTAATTTTTAATTGTTGATGCATACTCGATCAGCAATTTGCGAGAGAACAACCAATGTTTTATCTTCACTTACTTGAATTGAATCGGGTCCATAGCCCACATGGTAAAATATGGTCCCAAGGCAAACAGTTATGCAAACGTAAATGGCCAACCGCAACCAATAATATCCAATATCTCTATACATATTGACAAATGAACATCTAGTAAGCACAAGTGTCTTAGTAACAAAACCAGGTCGGTTTCTTCCAATCATCGCCCGATCCTGAATGAAAAGAATATGTTAAACGTAACTTGTGATATATACCATGAAAATATAATTATGCTAATGTTTACATGTAATTATATACGCAAAATTAGAATAGAAACCACCTCGTTTACGTAACGCATTTCCTGGTTCGCAACTTCTGATGTATTGGAGGATTTGTATGAGTTCACCAAAATGTCTATTGCTTCCTCTTCTGGCATGCACGGGAGTCCTTCTTCACTCTCCTGTATGTGTGTCAGCAAATTGAAAGACAACAATTCCGAAACAAAGAAATTATGGCATCTATATATAGCATAGATATGTTCACTTTGTCGTGCTGAAAACCATTCAGTTATAAATGCTGTCGTCCAATTTCCAATTATGCTTTACTTCCAGATTAGAGAAAATCCTACGGTGGTGTTACTCGTAGCCTATCTTTTTAACTTCTCTTTTACTGTTGGGTTGTATACATAGTATGTGCAGAGGCCTGAGGTTTAAACAATTTTTCATTATCTAAAACAAATTATGATATTCCATTAACTAGTTATACTGCGTATGAATTGTGAAAGAGCAATGCTACACGTACTAAATTTTTCTTACTAAACTTTTACTAACAATCATCTCAACCGTTTGATTTAAGTAGATAGAAGTTACAAAAAATCTAGATGCACTTATAGCATGACACATCAGTGTTAGTAAGAATTTAGTAAGAAAAAGTTAGTACGTATAGCCTTTTCCATTGTGAAATGCATGTACCCTAGTGGTTGCAGTGACCTGAGTAGCACCCCAATGTCTGAGTCAAATCTCTATAGGAGTGAATTTCAAATTGGATTATTTGAGGGCTAAATTTCCTATTTGATAGGCTAAGTTACTAATTTAAAAAGGCTGCATATATCCGGTTGGATATAGAGGCCGGGTAAAAAATACCCTTCTCTAGATAAAAATGAATTGTATTCATCTACCACACTATATATCTAACCTTATCAAAAATGAATCGGAGTCACAGACCACACTATATATATATATATATATATATATATATATATATATATATATCTAACCTTATCAAAATCTTTGTTCACAGTCCTCAAGAAATGATCCGATGGGTTCCTCATTGGCGGGCAAGGGTAGCCATTCGAAGCAAAGAACTGCAAATTAAACCAATTAGAAGGTAAAGACAGTAAACACGTACATACATAGACAGTATATATGGGAAACTCTTTAATCCCAGGGACTGATGTATCCTCATTTGTTCAAACATCCTCCAAATAGTTACTAAAGATTTTCAATCAAAATAACAACATTCATACAATATACATATACTCTCCAAAAAAGTCAAGCCAAAAATCAACTTACACAATGAAAAATTAAAAAGATAAGTCCATCATATTAGCAATTCCAATGCTGTTCACATTCATATTTGTCCTTTTTTTCTCCATATGTAGATCAAATTTGAAATTGATTTTTGGTGGAGTGGTCGCTAGCTATATATACACTACATTATCAAATTTAATTTTTCACAACCATCACGCATTAAACATTGAAGAAAACGGTACACGAGAGGATACCTCCTAAGGGATTAGAATTCAATTCCCACTATATATATCACAGTTAGATCGACTAACCTCGGCAGCAGTTGAAGCTGGGCCAAAGAAGATGGTACTCCCAGAGGCGAGCAGGCAGAGACCATGGAAGAGCTCGAAGACCTCGCTGCACGGCTGGTGCACGACGGCGACGATGGTCATGCCCTCCCTGGCAGCGAGGCTGGTGATTCGGCTCATGACATGGAAGGAGGCAGCACTGTCAAGGCCGCTGGTGGGCTCATCCAGGAAGAGAAGGCGGGGACAGGTCAGGATGTCGAGGCAGATGCTCAGCCGTTTCTGCTGCCCGCCGCTGATTCCCTTGCTCGACCGCCCGCCGATCCGGATGTCCAGCGCGCCAGTCAGCCCCATCTCCCTCACCGTGTCGTCACCGCGCGCCAGCTTCTCCGCCGTCGACATGGTGTCCGGCAGCTGGATTTGCGCCGAGTAGTAAATGGCCTCGCGCACCGTCAGCGTTGTCATTAGCACGTTGTCTTGAGTCACGTATGCCTGATCGGTCCATGTGTGCATAAGCATATATCCAATCATTTACGTTTTACGATCGCCAGTTGCTCGGTTTTTTCTCTGCTTAAGGGTGTGTTCGGCGATACACTTTTCAAACATCAAAAGTTTTTTTTTCACAGGCACGCTTATCATATGTCTAAACAACGTTTTTTTAAAGAAAAGTTCTATAGAAAAGTTGATTTAAATATTTGTGCGCTGACCTACCAATTTGTTTTACGTTCCGGAAAGGGTTCCCAACTGCAAACGAACACTACCCTCTAAAAAACTCCAACCGAACACAAGCTTAATATATGGAGCAATTTCGTTTATGCCCTACTTTGATGTCTAATATTAATTTTACCCAGTTTTCGTTTTTGCTCCTATTTTTTTTAACCGAACTATCGTTTTTGCCCCTAGTTTGGATGGTGAAATCAACGGTGTTAAGTAATTGGTAAAAGGACATTTATACCCTCTTCTTTCTCTGTTCATTAATTGTGTTTTTGCCCTATTTTATACATGTAGCTTTGAAACTTTATTTGGTTAGTATATTTAAAATTAAATGACGCACATTGATTAATATAACAATTTAGACAGATTCTGAATTTGATGAAATTTTGACAAAATTTAAGCAGCATTTTAACTGGAACTTGACCAAAATTTTGACAACATTTCAACATCTTACACAATCATATGAAATCATAGTAGCCAATACCAACAGAGATAGGAGAGTGTATAAATATACTTTTGCTAATTACTTAACATCGTTAACTTCACCGTCCAAAGTAGGAGCAAAACGATAATTCGGTAAAAAAAAGTGGGGGCAAAAACGAAAACCCTAAAAAGTAGGAGTAAAATCAATATTAAAAATCAAAATAGGGGAATAAGCGAAATACCCCCTTAATATTTCTAAACAAGTGTTTTAGAAAATTAGATTGTCCAGTTACACTATAGCTAAATATTCTAGTTCTTTATAGTATAATTGTTTATGTCGTCAACTTTGACTAAACTTCAACTTATTGTAGACAAACTTGTAGTCATCCATCTATGTACAACGACTCATATTGTAGTGAACATGTTTGCTTCTTCGCTCCTATGTAGAAAGTGGCATTTAGTGCACAGTGCAGCTCAATAAAAGCTGACTAAAAAAATCAATAATATTCAACATGATGTGTGAAATTTTGGTTTTATCAATTAAATGCTTCAACGTATTTTCTAATTTGAACTCACCGAGGTTCCAAATGCAAGTTTCTGAGATCGGCCATTAATTAAAATTTGTCCTCTCATCTTCAAGTTCAAGTCCAATCTTCCTGCGTATATCAACATAGTAAAAATAAATACAAATTGAAATAGGACGCATTATGGGCCGAACTTAGATATACACCAACAATGTAATATAGGAAAAATTTGCTGCTGAACATTATGACTCGTGACTTTATTGTTCTCGTAGGACACTGTAAAACCAAAATAAATCTTTGAGAGAAATACTATTAAAATACGTTATTTGCTGATGGATACTGTCACCGTTATTTTGTTATTGTCAGCATGACAAGCTAAGGGAGGACACCAACAAGGTCAGAAATAGGACGCTAATGCCGGAGAAGAGAAGACTAACCGCGCGCGAGATGAACTGCCGACCATATCGTGCTTACAGACATTCTCTTACGGGACTTAGCTCGAGGTAATTAACTTAAGAGCAAGTCTAATATAGGATAGCCCACTACTAACTTCAATTTATCTATAGCCAATCAAATAGTCAATTCATATAATAATTGCTTACTATACTATTAAGATATGGTCCCACCTATCATACACACAGTGTGTCTTGAAGTCCGTGCTGCAGCTGGCTACAGATCTGTAGTCCGCTGCTCTTCTCTCATCATTTATCTCATTAAAATATATTTAGAGCTGGCTAATAGCCTGCTATTGTACCTGCTCTAATGCCACTACTAACCAACCGATGATAATTAATTAACTCCCTGTCAAAATTTATTCGGCAAATTGGTCTGTGCTGCCGTTCGTGTGTGCTGAGCAGTTACAAGATTTAGTTTAGTATCGTACGCAAGAAACATGTATTGAAATTTGATTTGAATTTTACTTGAACATGGAGCACACTAAAATATAGTCATTAAATGCGTGCTTATCTGGCACATTAAACTCCTTGGGCAAGTACTATATACTAATGAAAGGAAGGGGATTAGACAAACAAATAAAATAAAGGGGTGTTTAGATCTACAGGCGTAAAGTTTTGGCATGTCACATCGGTATTATCACTAGTACAGAACCTTCCATATGTGACGCCCTCTAACATGCCTGGAATTCACTACTACAAAATCAATTTTTCATAGCGTCATTCTACTTTTTTCTCCGACGGCCATATGCATAAACCGCCATTAAAAATATAATGAGGCTGAGGGGTTAAGTACCGCCAGCGAAAAGGCCGAGTTAAGATAGCCGCCAGCAAAAATATGTCCATTTTTGTTGGCGACCCACTTAATGTACCGCTAGCAAAAATATGTCCCTTTTTACTAGCGGCCCACTTAATGTACCGCCAGCGAAAATATATTTCCTTTTGCTGGCGGCCAACTTAGTGTACCGTCAGCAAAAATGAAATTTCACAAGCAGAGGTTAAGAGCACCGCCTACAAAAAAAAATCCTTAAAATCCCTCCCAGCCTGACACCTTCTCCTCAACCTTATCTGCTCATCTCCCATCCCCAACCCATCGCTCCCACTCAACCACCTCCACCGTGCGCCCTTCCTCCTCCGCTCCTCTCCCTTCTGCCGCCGCCACCGCGTGCCCTTCCTCCTGCGCTCCTCTCTCACCCGCCACCGCGTGCCCTTTCCTCCTCCGCTCCGCTCCCACCCGCCGCCGCCACCGCGCGCCTTTCCTCCTGCGCTCCGCTCCCACCCGCCACCACCGCGCGCCGTCGCCGTCGACACTCAGCGACCACGACGACGCTGGCGGTCGGGAGAGTGGATCCACCGCCAACTCGGGATCTGGAGGCTCCTCCCCTCCCTCTGTACCCTCTCCCTCTACCAGATCTGGTTGGAAGGGAGTGGTCGGCACGGAGGAGGTGATGACGCGGTGGAGGAAGAGGATGAAGGGGAGGCGCGGTGGAGGAAAGGTTGGGGAGTGCGGATCAGCGACGGGGGTACATGAGAGCTCCAGATCTGTTGGGCGGCAGCAGTGCTCGGCAGTGCGCTGGTGGCGGCGGTGGTCGGCGGTGAACGGACGGAGAGACGTGCGAGCAGCGGAGCTAGGTTGCGTGAGGCAGATGGCGGATCCGGCGGCGACTCGTTCAAGTCCTGCATTGGCAAGTCCTCCATCGGCAAGCCATTAGGCAATCCGGCAGCCCCAAGTCCTTGGATCGACGACGGCATGGAGCTCCTTCCTCCGTGACGAGCTGCCGCCGTGGAGCTTCGTCCTCCACCGCCGTGGAGCTCCTTCCTCCGCATCGAGCCGCTGCCGGGAGCTCGGAGCCTTGGGTTCAGCAACCGCTGCTGTTATTCTCGTGGTGAGGCAATGGGTGATGCATGCTGGGATTGAAACATTTTTTGTTCTGCAGGATCGACAGCATGGTTGGCAAAATTAATTTTGATTTTTGTGATGGTGAAATTGCACTGTGAGGTCAACATATTTGAATCGATGCTTGAATTTGTGATTTTGGACTTGTATTTGTGAATTTGTGAGAAAAACAGGATGCACGAATTCGTAATTGAGGGCATATCTGAATCGGTTTGAATTTGTATTTTTGTTTTTTTTTTGCATCGGAGAATATTTTCGCAGGCGGCCCTCTTAACAACGCGGTTGCTAAAATTGGTTTTCGCAGGCGGCCCTCTTAATAGCACGCTTGTGAAAAATTGAATTTCGTAGGCGGCCATCTTAAGAACGCCCTTGCGAAAATCGGTTTTCGCAGAGTATTATGACCGCTTGTGAAAACCAATGATTTTCTCTGGCCTTTACTTACTGGCGAGCTGCTTAGCCGCCAGCACAAACCTCTTTTTGCCGCCAGCATAAATGTTTTTTAGTAGTGATTAGTGGGCTGTCACGGATGAGTCAACTGTGACGGGCCGAAAAATCGTCTGATTGAGATATGGTCGCACAGACATGTTAGATGGGTATAAAACTCAGGCCCATCACGAATGACACATATCAGTGACGGGCCGTAGTTTAGGCCCGATTGAGATATGTAATGTTATCTCAATCGGGCCTAAACTACGGCTCGTCACTTATAGGTGTCATCCATGACAGGCCTGAGTTTTATGCCCATCTAACATGTCTGTGCGACCATATCTCAATCGATAACAACTAGGCCCGTCACAGATGACTCATCCGTGATGGGCTTTATACTAATGTCCGATTGAGATGACTTAATATTTTTTTTCCATTCATCATATGAAATGTTTATAATTGTGAGATGACCTAAAGCAAAATAATTAACTGTAGTGTAATAACTTATTTTATTATTCAAAATAATTTTTTGGGTAGTAAAGAATTTCTAATGGAAAAATTACCAACAATAAAGTTGTATAACTTATAAAGATTTACAACTTTTATTTTGGTCATTTTTCTATATAACTTTTTTTAACAGTTTAAATTTAAATTTAAAAATATGATAACTTCAAACAACATTTTTAAATACTAAATGATTTGAAATGGAAAAATTATCAACAACAAAGCTGTATAACTTACCAAGATTTACAACTTTTATTTTGGTCATTTTTCTATATAACTTTTTTTGAACAATTTAAATTTGAATTTGAAAATATGATAACTTAAAAACAACATTTTCAAATACTAAATGATTTGAACTAAAAAAGTCATCCACAACAAAGTTGTATAACTTCGTCCTCCACTGCCGTGGAGCACCTTCCTCCACCAAAACATTCTCCTATATTGCATCAATTGTATTCTGATGAAATCCGTGTCCATACGGTTATATGATGATCAATTTGAGAAATTTTAAATTCCATTACACGATAAATAATTTGGGAAGGAGGGAGTATAAGCTTACGTGGAGAAGTGAGGTAAAAAAAATAAAAAGTGTTGGCTCTTATACCAGTGCTAGCTTAACACGTGTTCCAAGATAAATACATTAAATAATATATAAGTGAGGAAGAGATATGAGAAAAAATTGATACTAACCTATAGCTAATATATTATATATATTAGCTTTAAGATAGACTAATAGTAGTAAGTGAGCTCTGCTATATATTATCTTTGTTGTAATCTCTAAATCCTGACTTTGTCCATGAAAACTAACCCACAGGTCCTACGCTAAGTCAATATCCTAGTTGTTAGTAGTAATGAAAGGTCATGATGTAAATTTTAAATAGAGTCAGCATCGGGAAGTTTCTTGTCTATTCACTGTCCTAATACTGTTGGCTAATCAAAGGGCATGCGTGGCTCACCTAAATTCAGTCAGCGCCGCAAAATGAATTCACCCTTCAACTGCCTAAAGAAATACATGACGACGTTGATTTCTCGTATATCGTTCCCATCATTCGTTTTATTAAAAAAAACCATATAATCTTTTATTTATTTTCCGTGACTTATTTTCTCGTTAAAGAAATTGTAATGTTAACTTTTATTTTAATATAGTTATACAATTTTTTTAATAAGACGAATGATCAAACAGCGAAAAGTCAAACGCGTCGTATATTTTAGGATGGAGTTAGTATCTTATAAAATTATAATACTATGTGTGATTAATGAGTCCTCCTTACTACCTCATTATTAATGTAGTTTGTCGGTAAGTTTGATTATCACGGTAACCACAAGTCAAGGGAAAGATATGGACTCCTTAATAAGGCCAGTCACAATGGGGGTTTCACTGGTGTGTCATGCACATTTAATAGGGGTAAGACTGAATAAAAAATGATTATTTGCATGAAATGGGGATGAGAGAGAAGGAAAGAGTTTCATCCTGGTGAAACTCGTCAGCGTCGTTTCCAAGTCCTCGGTAACAGAGTGAAACCCCCGTTGAGGCCGATTCGTTTCATTCACCGGATCTCTTGCGTCCGCCTCCGCCGTGCGACCTCCGCATTCTCCCGCGCCGCGCCGGATTTTGGGTACAAATGATCCCAGCAACTTGTATCAATTAAATGCTTTGCTTAGTCTTGGAAACGTCAAAGTGAAACCCCTCCACTGTGGGGATTGTTTCATAAAAGATTTCATTTGAGAGAAGATGGTATAATATTTTGGGTAGCCGTGCAATGACACTAGCCATTGTGACTGGCCTAACACTGAACTGATCAAAGAGCATTTATTATGGAAAGATGATTGTGTCGTGGTAAATATGCTCTCGCAACTCGTGCATGTAGTCGAAAGACCTCTTAATTGCAACCTCTCTTCGGTCCCCCTTCCGCACTTCTCCTCACTGTCTAGCATTCTTCTCGGTGACAAGTAGAAAGGGACAGGTATCTCGTTTTTCTCTATTACTATTTATCCCATCAATCACAACACATTTCAATTTTTCCATATTATACCCCTCAACCACCGTTTTATTCTCAACCATAAATTATTTGATAAAGTTATTATAGTATTTTATTTCAAACCTTATTGTATGCCAAACTACCTAGAAAGATAAGTAATTTGAGATGGAGATAGTACTACTCACTAAAGGTTTTAGAAGTTTTATATCATAGTCGATTAGGTTTGCCTTTGAGGACGGACGTTTGTATAACTAGGATTGTATATCTTTCTCAATGTTTACGTTATAATATTATACTACCAACATAAAAATAATACATTTCTGGCTACGCACATGTGCATATATTTCTTTATATGAATAACCAGAATTGCACACTGTTTTTAGACGGAGGTAGTACTTGCGTCGTTGTTTAATTTATGTAAAAGAATTAACTAGTCGAATTTATCTTATTATCTTAAAAATTCCAGACAATATTCTTCTATGATCTGATGAGAAATTTGTAATCTATAAAAGGTATAAGTACCATGATTAGCAATATTAAAATTTTAGTTGTAACTTATCTATACTCGTGCTGTTAAAACAATGATATTTTAAATTTTGAACATTTTTAAAATTTTTTGTCAGGGTCAATGCTGGGTTGTTTTTTATTAACTGCCAAATTTGGAGATTCTTAAACGTTCGTTTTATTTTGAAAGGGACCAGGGTGATTCCATTAATTGGATCCAACCAAATCGCTGGTTACCGCAACCAAACTACAAGCAGGATCACCGTGCATACCAGACGTGGAAGACCAGCTAGGTACGCTTGAATCCAAACGTGGCATATGAATTTTACAGACAATTCAGTGGTCGGGGAAAAACAAATTAAAATTTTCAGATTGAATCTTAGGCCATTAAATAACAGGACCCATACGAAGACCCTATATAGTTACCAACACACAATCTTAGGCTGAGTTCTTCTCTCTATGTTTCCAATCCATCTCTCGTATTCTACAAGCACGTTTTTCAAACTGCTAAATGATGCGTTTTTTCTAAAAAAAGTATATACGAAAGTTGCTTAAAAAATCATATTGATCCATTTTTAAGAAAAATTAGCTAATACTTAATTAATCATGCGCTAATGGATCGCTCTGTTTTCCGTCCACAACAGCTGTGTTCCCGACACTTTCAAACGAACACAGCCTAAATATTTTGGCACGCGCGTAATATTACATTTCTAGGGAGTTCCACTCAGCTATTTGACCCTTATATAATTTACAGTGTAGAATATACTGTAATTTCAATGAGATAATTCCTTATATGCTACTGAAAATTGGTCTGATCCCTTGTTGCCACTGAAAATTGGTTTTTTTCTTATATGCCATTGTTCCAAATTTGCGCACCCTCTCATGCTACTCCCGTCTGTTAACTATGTGTTGACCATTAACTCTCAAGTAAAAAAGACATATTTGCCCTTCTAAGTATAGGATATGCCTAACAACTCAAAATGGCAAATACATCTTTTTTTTACTTGAGAGTTAACGGTTGGCATGAGAGGGTGCGTAACTTTGGACTAAAACATTTAGTAGAAGAGCCAATTTTCAGTGACATATAAGGGATCAGACTAATTTTCAGTGGCATATAAGAGATTTTCTCAATTTCTATTGATGCTCTTGGCTAGAAACAGGCAAATATCCTGTCTACATGCAAAAAGAAAAAAAAACTTTGGATGTTTGGACACTACGTGCAAATTAAAATGATGTAACACTGCACATTGCCATGTTTATGGTATAAGCGACCTCACATTAAGGAAAATTCAGTTCTCAAAGAGATGACGCCTTATGCTTAGAGTTAAATTTTGAAATGTTCAATTAATAATAGAATAAAATACTAGGATTTTATATGTGAAAATGATATCGATATATTTGTCATATAGGAACTTCCGTAAAGTTTTTTCTTCATATAGTAGTTCTGAGGCAAGTAGTGGAGATTAGTTCTATCTGTGAAAGTTTAACTATTTAAAAAGACTTTCTCATGTACTATCTTCGTTCGTTTTTTAATATATGTCGCTATTGATCTTTTTGAAATTCGTTTTACTATTCATTTTATTCAAAATTTATGTGCAAACCAACCAAAATATAAGTCATGCTTGAAGAACCTTCAAGGATAAATCAAGTCACAATAAAATAAATAATAGTTACATAAATTCTAGAAATAAACGTATGTCAAAATAACAACAGTGTTATATATTACAAAACGGTTGGAGTATGCTACTTGCTACTAATAATAGTGTGGTTGGAGGATTTGATTTTTTTTTAATTCCAAAACTGTCAAAATGATATGTAAGCACATGTACAGCCCCTTGCCGAATTCAAGATGAATGTAATTAAGCTCAGATCAGCTAGCATGCGATCCATGGGGAGAAACTAACTGAGCAAAGTGTACGTGTTGGGTTACCGGCGAGGGTGTCGAGCAGCGTGGTCTTGCCGCAGCCGGAGGGCCCCATGATGGCCAGCACCTCGCCGGGGCGCGCGCAGCCGCCGACGCCGTTGAGGATGGCGGCGGCGTGCCCCCTGCTGTCCACCGCCGTCACCCACACGTCCTCCCACGTCAGGAACACGCCCCCGCCATCGCCGTCGTCAAGCCGCTTCTCCCCTCGAGCCGCGCCGACGACGTCGATACCTATACTATCGAACCCGCTGGCGGCGGCGTGCTCCGTCGTCGCCGCCGCTGCCGCCGGATGTAGCGGACGAGGAGGCGCCGTGTCGCCGCGGGGAGCGGCGCGCCGACCGCGGAGAGCCGCGAGCACGGTGCGGAATGGGGAACGCAGGAAGCCACGGACGGCGGCACCGTCACCGCCGCCGGGAGAGGTTCGCCACAGCGGGAGCGACGGGCTTGGCGTCGGTGCCCAGCGTGGCAGCGGCGATGTCGCCATGCCAACAGCCTATTAGCGCTTCACAGTTATTCAGTACAAGTGTAGAACTGAAACCACTAACTAGCGTTCTCTTACGTTTTTTCTCTCATCTCCTCGGGTTCTTTTCTAAATGTACTATAATAGGGCTTATTAATATAGATAACTCCACATATGTAGGCATCAACTTTAAATACAGTTGGTTGCGGATGTCTGTGTTTGATGTCTGCGTCTGGCAATAACACTATACCCAAGTTCGTTAGCATCAGGATTTGCTAGCATATTTGGTGCGTTCGTTTCTGGCGGTTGGGAACTCATTCACTGCTACACGATAGATTTTTCTGGACGTCACCCCCATTTATTTTCATACGGTCCGTAAGTGGAACCACACGAAAAAATAGAGGGACCGGCACCGGGCTGTCGCCCGCACGGGAAAATGCATTTTCCCGTACGGGCGTCTTAAGAGTACCGCACGGAAAAGTTCTCATTATCCCATGCGGTCGACTTAAGAGGACCGCTCGGAAAAATCAATTTTCGTGTGCGAGCTTTTTAAGTGGACCGCACAGGAAAATACCTCCCTCTTTTCACTTCCACCCACTTCAAATTTTTCACATCCTCTCTCTTCCTTTTTCCCTTTTATTCTCCCTCAACCACTCTCCTCTCTCTCTACCTTATCTCTATTCTCAGCCACTCCTCCCCACCTTCCCCTACTCCTTCCCCTCCCCTCCCCCGTCAACGGCGGCGGTGGCCCCTCCCCTCCTCCCCGTGAGGGAGCAGTGGCTCGGCGGAAGCAGTGGCTCAGCGAGAGCGACCAGGAGGAGGAGAAGGTGGCGGCGGGAGAGGGCACGGGGGCAGCGTCGGCGGCTCTATTGGCAGGGCGCGACGGCTGCTGGCGGAGGTGACGCGGCAGCTCGGTGAGCGGAGGAGCGGCGGCCGCGGGACGGGCGGCGGACGGCGCGGCGGCCGAGGCATCGTGCGGCTCGGCGAAGGAGCGACAGGAGTGGGACAAGCGGCAGACGCCACGGCTGCCACGGCACCGCGCGGCTTGGCGAAGGAGCGATGAGCGGCGAGCGGCGCACGAGGCGACGGCCGGGCGATGTGGCAGCCGGGCTCGACGGCGACTTTCGATTTTTGTGTTTTTTTTATTTTTGGTTTTTTTATTCCGTGCAGGTGAAATAATTTGACCGCACGGGATAATCTATTAACCCGTGCGGTCCACTTAACCCGACCACACGGGAAAATGATTATCTTGTGCAGTTGGCCGCCCGCACGTGAAAATATTTATTTTTCCAGACGCGTGGGTCCAGACGGGGAAAACCTCCGCACGGAAAAATCAATTTGACCGCACGGAAAAAATAGTTTATGTAGTGGTGATTCTCTCCGCACGGAAAACGGAGCGGTCTATTATCACGTAATTTTTTTTAAAAATGGATCAACATGGTTTTTTTAAGCAACTTTTGTATAGAAAATTTGTGTAAAAAACGCATCGTTTAGTAGTTTGAAAAGCGTGTACACGAAAAACGAGAGGGTGAGTTGGGAACACCCTCTTGCAAACAGAGCCGGGGACCAAAATCTTGTGAATTTCAGTAAATTTCAAACTATTTGACCAAAAAATCACAAAAAAATGGGTAACAAAATGAAATTTCAGGATAAATAGTTTCGTCCTGGGTTTGCTGAAATTGAAAGCCCTATTAGGATTGACTCATAATGGGGTCTTTTCATAAATTTAATTTAGTGGTTCGACTCCATTCCGTATCAATATCTTCAACTAATTTTGACTTGGGATCAGATGACGATGGATGAATCTGTTCCATTATATAGTGTACTTAGAATCAAGTGGTCAATTGGCAACACAATTCTCCGTCCAAATAACCCTATGACGCTACAAATACATACATGGATGTATATGCTAACCTATGATTCTAATATACGACACTATTGATATTTTAGATACGCTTGACCATTAATCTTATTTAAAAAATATATGTAATTACCATTTATTTTAATATGATTTAATTTATTATCAAATGTTTTTATACCACGACTTAAAAATTTCTATATTTGCAAAAAAAAATGAATAAGACAAATGATCAATGGTAAATTTAATAAACTAATTTGGTATCGTAGATGTTGCTAATTTTTTCTATAAATTAGGTCAAACCTAAAAAATTTTAACTAAGAAAAAATGAAACGACTTACAATATGAAATATGAAATAGAGTATTAAAAATCGGAGGTAGAATATATATATAGGCAGATAGAACTATATGACTATTCGTTCTATTGAAATAATTTTATAAATAAGTTATTACTAAAGTACATATCTATGCTTTTATAAAAATTGAAATTGTTTCCGCCAGAATTTTGGTATGTCATCCGTGTTTGAAGCAATTTTAATTTTATGTTTCTACCAAATTTTTTCCTTTTTTTCCAACTCTAGAGTGTCTCTCTTACCTAAGACATACGCGAATTAATTGGGCCCGTGGCTTTTCACGGCGTAGCACGCCCCTTGCCGCACGCAGCGATCGGGTCCGCGCCTAAGTCCGTTTTCCACACGCGACATTGCGCACCACCGCGGTTGGGCCCGTGACGCCCTCGCGCATGCGATTTGCCCTTGCCGCATGTCCGATTGTTATTGTTTCGCCCTCCCCCTTGATTTAAAAATTGAAGATGTTTTTGTCCTGAGTTCATTTTCCAAATGCGACATTGCGCGCCACCGCAGTTGGGCCCACGACGCCCTCGCGCGTGCGATTTACCCTTGCCGCATGTCCGATTGTTATTGCGTCGCCCTCCCCCACGATCTAAAAATTGAAGATGTTTTTGTCCAAACTATGGTACGTCGTCCGTATCCGATTCCCATGTGCGTAACATTCATCACGAAGTCACGACTTACGAGTGAACTGTGAAAGAGATTTCGTGTGATGTGGATACGAAGCGAATGAAATTCGCAGAGTCCGTGTGGATAACATACATCGTTGCCCAGATCATCCAATCTATTCGTATTACACGTCACGTTTTCTGGGATATGCTAATATGATTTTAAGTCAGTCTCTACACATGCTCGTATGTACTATTAGGATACTGTTACAATAATCCACAAGAATCAATTTTACTTTCGGAAAGAACATGCCAACGGAAATAAAGGTAAATGAATATTGTGATAAGAGTAAATTAATTAGTCAGTAGCACCGCAAAAACCTCATAAAAATGGAAAGATAAGAGTAGAAGAAATTTATTTTTGAAAAATCCAAAGGGATCTGTATTTCAAGTTCACCTCAATTTACCATTCTTCGCTTATGTGCACCCAGTCTTCTACTAAGATCAGTAGCATACAATGCGACAATGGTCGAGAGGTTGACAACATCACTGCACAGACTTTCTTCCTCACTAATGGCGTCGCTATGCGGATCTCATGCCCCCACACGTCTCCAAGAAACGGTAAAGCCGAGCGTATACTTCGTTCTATTAACAATATTGTGCGCTCCCTTCTGTGTCAGGCCAGCCTTACAGGCTCCTTGTGGGCCGAGACCCTCCACACAGCTATCCACCTCATCAACCGGCATCCTACAAAAATCCTACACCACCACTCCTCCTACTATGCCCTCATCAACGGATTTAAGATTATTCAAAACTTTATTAACTAGGTGAAACCCCGCGCATTGATGCGGGAATTTAATATAATAAAAATAAAAAAATAACGTGTAAGATAGATAGATAACATTATATTAAGTAAATTAATGTGGTTTATGATAATTTAAATTTAAAAGTATGCAGAATGGTGATTCAAACGTAAAAAAGTAAGGTCGTATGACTTAGTGGAAGAAGAAAAGTAGGGAGATAGTTTGGACCGTAGATTAATCATCTAAAGGCTAAAAACAATTGATGTGATATGACTTAATTAAAGGAAAAAAGGAGAAAGATAATTTCGACCATAGATTAATCTTTTAAGCACTAACTAAGTGAGGGTGAACTATATAAGTACATAGGATATCATAAATCATAATAAAGATATACATTAAAACATTATGTGAATTATGTTGGATGATTTAACATGTTTGTATTTAAAAAGCTCTTAAATTATAAAAACTATAAAGATATAGCATGTTTGCATGATGTTTAAATATGATGATTGTTAGTGGATGATAATGTGGCATCTTATTAATTAGTGGATGATGATGTGGTATTTTATTAGTGGATAATGATGTGGCATTTTTGCATGTTAAACTTATGGAGTTAGTGGGGGATAACTTTACAGTTAGATAGGATAAGCGGGGGGAGGTGGCTCAGGTGGGGCAGGTGGCGTATCGTCTGGAATTTTCCATTGTGCACCATTCACCGCGGGGTCCATGTCACACAATTGCGTTGAGACCTGCTAATCGTATCACTGCAGCTCTCCCTCCTGTTAAAGATGAACCAGAACCGATTACAAGGCAGGTGGTGAACAACGAACTGATTCGTCGTGGTGCAGCGGCAATCAAGTAAGTCAAGGTTAGCCGGCAAGGGCGGCCGGTGTTGCAGAGGATAGCTGTGGCTAGATCTTGGGGGAACTAATCCCTTCCGTATGTAAAATATAGTGACTCATTAACACAAGATTAGTTAAGCATTAACTTTTTTTTTGAAAAATAAATTAATATGATTTTTTAATGTAACTTTCCCACAGAAATTTTTTACAAAAAATATACTGTTTAGCAGTTTGAAAAATGTGCGAAAAAAAGGAGAAATGTGAGTTAGAAAAATTAGGGAAATAACTCAACCCTATAGCTGCTGTGCTCTCCTTTTTTCGACTGATCCGACTTGGGGACAAGCCATCTGTGATGGAGGGGAGAATGTTATGCGGTTATGCCTTAGGATCGGCAGCAACCAACGTCTAAAGGAAAGAGGCCCATCAGGGAGTCGCGGCCCAATGTTCGCTGCATTGTGCCAGATAGGGTGGCGTGAGAGGGAGTTGGTGTGCGTCTATAAATTGGCAAAGGCCAGCATTGCAACGCAATGAACGCATTGCAACTCAAAACATTTATCCCCAAATCAAGTCCTCCTCCCCACGTCAAATCTATGTTCTTCTCCGTTGACTCTACTTTTTTATAAACTGGAAAGGTAGCCCACGCATTTACGCAGACATGTC